CATCCAAAGCTACGCCTACAGCCGTAGCCACCAGCCTCCTACTCCGCAAGGTACAGATACCTCCACGCTGGATGTCGGGTGTTTCGTCACGAGCCTGCAAGTTCTGGTCAGGTCGACGACTCGACAGGCAGTGTCCGGAGAAGATCTTCATGTCCCCGAGCGTTGAAACTTTCTTGACGGCCTCAGCCGCTGCCAAGGTTGCCGAGAGAAGGGACAAACGTACGCCGCCTCGTCCCGTACGCGTAAATGTCTGCAATATCGGACGCCAATATGACCGTGACCGCCCTGAATTTCGGGGGTTCGAAACGAAACAAGTGTCCTGGTAAATTTAGAAAGCTCACATACGCTTTGCAGACTGCCGGAGTATCAAGAGTGATATTCCTCGGCGCCAAGGTGCTTGTACGTGTCCCTGGGACATATGTCTCGGTGACGGGTTCGGGGATGTACAGCGTCGTCGACCGTGGCCTGCTTCTGAGTCGTCCACCACCAGCCGCTGCGTTTCATGACAGTCTCTGGGCGAGGGAGCACTGTGTATCAAGTATCAATAATAGTTGGGGGTTTGATACAGCAATGGCAGGTCTTGGCCTTTAACGGCAGTCATATATGTCTTGAGGAGGCTTATTTCGCCAGGTTGAGATGTCCGGAAGGCTGATCCGAAGCCATATATTGGAATCTTACGCCTGGCGAGACCCCACGAGATGTTTGACCGAGACGGCAGGGCTTGGCTCGACGGGCAATCAGTTGGTATAGACATAGTATACACCCCAGCGTATGATTGTTTGGTCCCACTGGCCAGGTATCAAACATCCATGATACTAAATGCTATTATTATTCCACAGTCCAGACAGTCCCAGCGGCCAGTGTGGGGTGTCTGATTTCCGTGGTTGCTTGTGACAATCTTTTGATCATCACTGCAATCTTGGCAGGAGATTGCCTTTGGTGTGATTGTTTCGCCTCATTGATTTGACAAATTGACGGGCCACGATTCCCCGTCGCTGTTGGATATCGGATTGAGCCTGTACCGCGCAGACAAGAGCGGTCTGACTGGGGTTGTAGCTATTAGCGGGCCCTACTAGGGCTGCAAGAGCTAGCCAGGAGCCCTAATGAAATGCTTGATGAAGATTGCATCGACTAGCACCATGCAGGACAGGTGGTGAACCGCATATCACTGAATTTAGCCCCCCTGCACGGTGAATATGGGCAAGGTGTGTTGTTGGAATGGGACCGTAAACGGATGTGCGGGTAGAATATGCCTGTCGTTGAAGGACCAAGACCAAACAATAACGGGACGCAGAGTCTCGACCACCGCTTCGTCACGGAGCGACATGTTCGTGCGTCAAGCAGTATAGGTTCACGTTCCCTTGAGCAGCGTCGCAAGAGGGTCCGAGTTCACTATTGTCAATTACAGTACCAGCAGGCTGAACGAACCACTGGAGGCAGACGCGTGCGTACGGCGTACCATGCCGGAAAGAGAAGCTGCAGCCTGGCGCAGGACACATCGTGAGCTCCCCAGGGTATCCTTCACTGTGGTGGAGCTAGGTCCAAGCGACCGAGACGCGGGATAGGTTCTCCGCCAAGGAGCTTTGGTCAGTGTCGCGGATAGATGTCGTCAAAAGTCCAGAAGATTTGACTGAGATCCGAGTCAACAGCGGAGGTTAACATGGGCGGCTGGATTTGGATCTCAGGGTTGGCAGCTTGTGAGACATCCAGCACTTGGCAGGTCACATTGATGACCCCGTGCGGACGTGAGAGATCGGTTCGGGGAATGCAAGCTGCAGTCATTCTGTCAGTCACCTAGTGAAGCAAGTAGTCGGTGGGTTGGTGGGTTGGAGTCGGTGTCGGTGTCGGTGTCGACGACGCTGGGTGTGTCAAGACGGTAGGTTGCGACACAGGAGGAGGAGGAGGGTCTCCAAATCGAAAACCTAGCTGGATGCGGTCGAGATGAGCGCTGCAATCGGGACTGGCTCGGCTGGGGGGGAGTAGGGTAATCCTATCGCGTATTCAATTTTGCTGAATTGGTATTGGTGACGGACCAAGAGCGAGAGACACAGCGAGCGAGTAGAGTGCGGGCCAGCAGGCCATGAGCCAGCAGGCCAGGCAAGGGTATGGGCATCCCATGGGCATCCCATGGCATCCCACACTCGCCAGACCTCGTAGGCTCGATTGGGGGGCAGACGCCGCCCACTTGCACGCCCACTTGCACGCCTGCGACACTGCGACGCTGCAACCCTGGACCTGGCCAACGTGTAACTCTGCACGGCTGCGTCCCATCCCAAGGCCATCCCAAGCCATCCCAAGACAAGACTGGATCAAGAAGACAACCCTGCAGATGGGAACCCCCCAAAGATTGAGCCGTACTGTACTCTGCACGTACTGGTCCCACACCCAGCAGCGCGGGTAGCGGTAGCGGCAAGCGGTAGCAGTGACGAGGGCCAGACACAGACACAGACCCAAGCACGGGGGGCAGCGCCTGCTTGTCGAGGATTTCCCGCCCCGTCTTTCGCCTAGAACAGGCAACGCAACGCAACCCAGAGAGAGCAGGGAGCGGAGATCCAGAGACCAGCGCAGGGGAGAGCTAGCAGGGCCTTGGCTCGTGAACTCTACTGCACTCTGCACTCTGCACACTGCGCTCCCTGTGCCACTGCAGCTTCATCGTGGAGGCGCAGGCTGGCAGAGCAGAGCAGAGCAGAGCTGACCTGGCTGGATACAGTATGGCCGACAGTATTGCGTACGGATGACTAGATGGGTGGATGAGTAGATGGATACATACTGGAGCTTTGTCAGGGCCCAGAAAAACCAGAGTACAGTACCTAGGTACAGCACCAGAAGCACCAGCGACAGCGACAGAAGAACCCTGGAGGCAAGACAAGACGAGACAGGTGGGATAGCCTGGCTGGTGTGGTGCCGTCATTTGCGAGATGTGATCTGGGGCGGTACTTGGCAAGTTGCCGCATCAGCAGCGGGATCGTCAGGTATCTCGATTGTACTTTTGGTCACCGTGCCCTGGCCAGGTGCCCTGGCCCTGGAACCGGACCTGGGCCCTTGGAGATGGAGACTGGGAGACTGGGAGACTGGAGAGAGTGGGAGAGAGATGACCCCCAAGAGAGGAAGCCGAAGAGTCGAGTCGAGCCGGGTCAAGTCGAGGTTCCTCTGCCGCGCCCATGTGCAAAGTGCGAACAGGTCCCCCCAAGTCCCAAGGTTCCCAGGTCCCAAGCCCCAAGCCCCAAGCCCCCCCAAATGCCCCAAAATCCAAGGTCCAAAGTCCCAAGTCCAAGTCCATGGCCACGCCCACGCCCCGTGTCCGCGCCCACACCCACACGCCCACACCCACTCCGATGATGGTGCTGGTTCCATCCCCATTTGCATTTCCATTTGCATTTTCATTTGCATTGCCATTTGCATCTGCCAATTCCTTGACACACACGCGCACACGCACACACACGCACTCACTCACTCGCACCAAGAGAAGAGCGAGGTAGTTCAGTTTTCCCAATCCCAGTCCCAGTCCCCAAGTCTCTTCCACCACTTCCACGCACCACACACACTCTCTCACTCACACCCCCCCCCCCAGCCCCAAGGTCCCAGTTCCCACTCGCCGCCCGTTGAACAATAAAACGGTCCTTCCTCGCCCTCGACATCGCCCCCTTCCATCTCGCGCCTTCCTTTGTTTCCTGTCCTTTTTCCACCTTCGCCCCTTCCATCAGCCTTGTCCTACTTTTTACAAGCAAAACCGTACCTTCCGTCGGTTGACGTTGGGTCAACGTCAGAGGACTTGCGATCCTCTCGACTTCTCAACCCCGACTCCCGACTCCCATCCCGGCTCTTTTTTGCCATCGCCGGCCATCTTCTGCTCCGACTCTGTGCATCAAACGCACATTTATATTTATATATATATACATATATATAAGCCTCTGTGTTTTGTGTGCCTGTGTATACGGTACATATACAACAATATACACGCCACTTGTACACATATACCATAAATACCACAACTCTCACAAACCGCATCACCTCTCTCGTCCGAGTCAAGTCGGCCAGCTCTCTCGTCCACGGCCCGGCATCGCCCACCCACGCAGCCACCGCGCTTCTCGGCTAAAGGGACTCTGATCTTTGCTGCCAAGTCCTCGACCGCACTGCAGCACTGACTCTCCTGCGCTTCGAGCAGCAAAGGACCAGCCTACGTGTTTTATAAAAATACACACCCTGGCATAGTCTTGACTTGCCTCAACCCTGGACTTGCGCCGCACCGCACCGCACCGCATTGCATCGCATCCACCTACCCTACCTAGCCGGTACAAGGACCCGCTGCGACCATCCACTATTATCTGGCTTCTCCCACGCGCGCAAAGCGACCAAGCCCGGAACTCCAGCACCCAGAGTTCAGAATCCCACCCTCGATCCGCCCACCCGCCGCCTATCCGATGAATCTCACCCTGCGCTCGTGAGCTTCAGACCTCGCCTGTCTAGTCCAATATCTATCCCACCATCATCTTCTTGAGTTGAACGACACCTTCCGCCCGCAACTCTTCAACCACAACAATCTAAACAACACAAGACATCACCATTAGACCAATCTCCACTCAACTCTGTTGTTGTACTTCTTTCTCGGCGTTTGCATCCATTGGAGTTTCCCGGTCAGGATCTCAAAAGCTGTTTTGCCAGATACCCAATCGAATGTTTCATTAGACTCGATACCAGACTTCTTTTCTTTCCACCAACTTATTCGAGCACGCTGAGACGAATCGCTTAGCACCGGACTCGACTTCTCAGACCTTGGCAGGCCAGACGAATTAGCCAGTCAGTCACCTGCTCGTGGACAGCTGCAGGTGTCATCTGGACCCCACCAATTGACAGCATTGCGACTCCGCTACCTGCAGCATAAGCGCTGCCATTGACGCGCCTCGCCTCGCCTCGCGAGCCTCGCATCTCGGCATAACCGAGCACATATCAAGTCCTCTACTACCCCTTATCCACGCAGCACATCACCGAAATCCATCAAAATGATAATAGACGGCGAGAAGTGGGCCTGTGAGTCCTGTGTGCGTGGCCACAGGGTCAGCAACTGCCAACATGCGGGTGAGCATTATCCGCGCATACCCCTGGGCCTCTCTCATTGCTTGCTGTGACGCTGAGTGAGCAAGCGTCACGTTGCAATGCGTCATGCTCCTAAAATGGGTAACTTTTGTCATGGAGACTGGTCGCTAACACTCACGCTTTTAGATCGACCCCTGCAGCACATCAACAAGAAGGGCCGCCCCGTATCCCAGTGCTCGCACTGTCGCAACATGCGCCGTTCAAAGTCAGCTCACGTCAAGTGCGACTGCGGCGAGAAGACCAGCAAGTGCGTGCACTTGCAGTCGACCGTTGACGGTCACAGGGAGAGCTGCTGTTGCAACCATGGTGGACGCTGCACCTGCTCGCACAAGAAGGAGCAGAACCAGCTCGACACCGTTCCCGAATCCGACTCCGAACAGGAGCTCAGCTCGAATACGAACGCAAAGGCGTCCAAGCTGGTGCGGAACCGCCGATCCAGAGCTAGCACCCAGACCTCCGACGGGATGTTGACCTTCGACGAGAACGGCCACCACAAGCCCACTTATAAGCACCCGAAGGCTTCCCAGAAATCCGGTCCCTACCAGCTCAGCCGTGCGCATTCCATGCAGAGCACTGGAAGCGGAGCCAACTGCTCCATGGAAGACCTCGCCAACGAGTCGTCAGCCAGCAGCAGTGGCAGCATCCCCCAGGCGCAGGATCAGTCGTTGGCGAAATCTGAGACGGCATCACCGCTGCTGACTGCTGCGTCATCGCTTTCTCAGTCCAACACTCACCTGCCTCCATTAGACCTCTCGAGTGTTACCGGCTGGGCATCAGGCTCCTACAACATGCCCGAAAACTACGACTTCTTCAACAGCATGGATGATCACCAGCAGCCGATGTTTAGCGCCGGTCTGAGCCAGCCTGAGGTTGACTGGAGCCACATTGGTCTTGACTTTGCCAGCAAGGACCTGGGCAGCTTCGCCCCGTCGAGTTACAGCCAGGCCCAGAGCTTTGCCGGCTTTGAACAGCCCCCTACGTTGACCTCCGGCGAGGTGTCCGAGGTTGATGATTTCATCCGGGACGAGTACGACCCCATCGGCACGTTCAGCCGCACAAACACATCGAGCACGGGATTCAGTCTCGGCAGAGACCAAGAGAGCCTGCTTAGCGCTATGGAAATGGGCAGCACCGATTTCGACGACTTCAGCAAAATCGCGAAGGACGGTACCAAGTATGCTGCGTCCGCGGCAGCTCTTGTCACAGAGGACTCCGCCCTGGCAACCGCCATCGCCGCCACCTCAGGCGTCGCCGGATTCGAAAACGACCCAATCTTTTGGATGAACGATGCCGACTACACTGGAATGACGGCTGTGAACGAGGTTCCAGACGTGAATGGCCCCAATTTTTGGGAGGTACAATAGCACTGTGCGAATCAGTCACAGAGTTTGCTATCAAGCTACAGTTGCTGATCACGACTGAAGCCATGTTCTGACATGGTTGGCGTTTGGGCTTGTGTGTACATGGCAATGTGCAAATTGGGAGGGAGGACATGTTACAGTCATGAACAACAGAAAATTCGAAATGCGAGCACGAACAAATCCGAGAGCTTTCTCATGCTTATGTGGCAATCGCGTCGAAGCTGCAGCAGCCACACAGCCTACGAAACGAAGCAGTGCCACCTTCACTGCAAGACTGCGATGACCTCAACAGCCGCGAATCTTTGCTGGAGGGTTGTACAAAGCGAGACGCAATAGAGAAAGCAGGGGCGCGGGCGAAACAACCCGAGATGTATAGAGATTCCATATCCTGCATATAGACGGGCTGGCTGGTTAAGCTGTAGATAGATTTGGACCCTGTCAGTTGATCAGACAGACAGTTGCAAAAAATAAAGTAAAATTCAAAATGTACATCGCCGTCTCACCCTGCAAGCCCCCCATGCACGCCCTGGCCTGTACCTGCATATCACTGCATAATTCATCAGCAACTTTTTGAGCAATCCTGCAGGTCTGTATTGTAAATGATGTACCTCGTGCATTCGGCCTTTTGGCTCGCTCACTCGACAGCAGCGGTCCACCTTTTTTGGCTAATATTGCAACATGGACCGACAGCAGAATCGTAGCCCCGACGCTCCGACCAACCATGCCACCGCCCACCGCCGCCCACAAACAACGTGACGAGAGCGACACACACAGACACACACATACACACTCACACGCACACACACACCGCGGAATAACCAGATGCAGACCGCCCATCTGGGCGACCGAGCCGCCCGCGGAGCTGGACGCCAGATGACGCCATTTGGTAGCAATGCAGGCGTGCCTTGGACGGGGGGGAATGAAGGGGGAGGGGCGCGCCGAGAAAATGGGGGCCCCTAAATAAGTACACTTTCTCTTTTCTTCCCTTCTTTTCCTTTTGGGTTTCGCCTCCGGAGCCGGCCCGATCGCCATCTGGGGCCTATTTTCTATCTGTGAATCCCTGTTCTCCTTGCCCTACGCTAGGGACTGTCACAGTATTCTGGCCTGTCTCCCTCTCTTTCCTCCAGGACATCTTCCGAGCCCTCCGTCCCCGGATAATATATGGGGAGGAAGGGAGGAGCCACGGCGTTTCTTTTTGTGTCGCTTTGTTGGGGGTGGATCAGGCAGGCAGGTCGGCGATCGCACTTTGTGTCCACTGTCTAGTCGTATCTCTGCTTGGCCGAGGAAAAGCTGGGAACTACTCTCTCTCCCACTTCCCACTATCTTTACGTAGTGCTCGCAAATGAAGAGGCGCCCCGGAGACCCGGTTATTTGGCCGCAATCTCGATCTGGCAGGCCAGCCAAGCAAATGGGCTGGGAGAAGGTGACATAGCACGAACCGAAGGGCGGGGACCCAGGCGGTTGGTAACTACAGTGTGGGCACACACACACGAGCATCGTAACGCCTGTGGAACTGGATGCTCTGCTGCTGGGACTCTTTGTGGCAGGAGGGCTGACTGGCAGGTTCTGTGGGCAGAACATGAAAGAGCAAGGGCGGCGGCGGCGGCGACCCACACGCGTGAGATGCGTCCCGAGGCTATTCTCACTGTCTGTATATGCCACAAAGGGGGGAAACGGATGACGACCTGAGCGCATGATCCTTCCTCATAGTCGCCTCAGGCTCCATTGACAACGAACCCACAGGCGGGTATGGGCTCGCCTTCCGTCTTGGTGTGTGGGCTGGCTCAAGAGTCACAATGCTGCAACTGTGCCCGAAGCCAGATAGATCATGACCGGCCTCGGCCTCTGAATTATTATGGGCGCCGCGAATCGAACGTGCATTCATCTCGTTGCCTAGCAGCAGGAGCATGAAGCTCCACAGCGTATTCCTTCTACATCTCCATCTCCCTATTCCGCACTCGCGAGATTCATCAGTCATCCTTGCTACACCTTGGATATTGCAGGGTGATCTCGTCGCTCACCCAATAACAACAAGAGGATCTCCTCACGACCCTGGACATCTAAAGCGATTGTCTCTCGACAACGACTTCGCACATGCAGCTTTGTGGTACATGAGCACCGTTGTACATCTCCATCTGGCGACGTATCGCCTCCCCCCCTCCGGGAATTTCTCCCTAATGTCTCTTGTCTGAAGTTCGTAGCCGCCTGGTTCAACCCAAAAATCAATGTACTCCATTAAATGCACCGAAGAACGCCGTTGCCAACAAGGTCCATATCCGCATGTGTATGCAAAATTTCCCTCCCCATCGTGTATGTTAATGAAAGCAAAATGCCGGGTATCGTGTATTTTCCAGGCCTATTCTCCTTTCGCCACCCCCCTGAAATCAAATCAAAACGCCGGAGAGAAAAAACACAAGTTGGGTATTGGACAGAACGACGGCCGAATGGAGAGATGAGAGGAGCTGTTAGTTGAGCTGGAAGCCCAGTTTAGAAAAGGGAACGGCGGGAAGTTGCTTGCAGTGCTGGCGCGTGGGAGCGTGGGGAGCGTTCAACGCATGCTGTCCCTCGCGGCACTGATCTCGTTACCATGCAGCTCTACTGCCCTCAGAGGAGGGGCGTCCTTGGCCTTGTTCTCGGAGGGGAGCTCCAGCCTCCTCCTGAACCAGCCGCCTCGCTCCCATTGGCCAGCCACATACAGGGCGTCGTTCCGAGTCTTGTCGTCAATGATACCGAAAAGTAAGGTTTCGAGCCTCTTGAAATCGATGGGCTTTAGAATCCAGCCGTCGAATCCAGCCGTCGTGTAGGTCTCCCTCTCACGCTCCAGCAGAGAGGCCGAAACCGCAAAGATGGGGATTCTACCGTGGTTCGAAGAAATGGCAGAGAGGCGATCATGCTCGCCTGAGTGCTCAATCGCACGTATCGTTTTGGTGGATGTCAGGCCGTCCATAAGAGGCATCTGTGAGATAGAGCGTCAGCTTGCCTGAGAGGAGCATGTGGGAGCAGGGCATAAGGGGGTGGGAGGGAGGACATTACCTGCATGTCCATGAGGACTACATCAAATTCGGCGGCTCTTTCCTTGTAAGCTGCCGCGCAGTCTTCGCCGTTCACCGTATGGTGTACGACATGGCCCGCCTTCTCCAGTCGCTTGCGTAGTATCTTCATGTTGATGGGGTCATCTTCCGCCACGAGCACCCTCAATTTGGCGGATTCTGGCTGTCTAGCCTTGTGAACATTGCCATCGATTGTTGTCGCATTGGGATTGGCCTTGGGCTTAGGTGATGGTTTTTCGTCACCAAGCTCGAACAAAACGCCCGAGGTCTCGCTAGGCTGCGCTGGTGCTTCCGGTTGCTCTTGAAACTCGTCGGGAATCTTGACAGGCCGAATAGGGGTTTTGCTGTCGGTGACATAGTCGATCCCAACTGGGGGATCGGGCGCGGCGTCACCAACTTCTTGCCCTGTGTTGTTGTTGCCCGGCGACGATACCGATCTCAGCAACCCACTCGGCCTTCCAAAAGGTCGACTGGGACTCATTGACCGTGATGCCGTATGTCGAGAACCACCGCTATAGTAAGCCCCCTTCGAATTTCGACGTTGTGCGCTGACGACTTCCGTCTCCGGCTCTCCGATACCTAGAGGAGTCTGAATAGCATCGATGAGCCTGTCAGCGTCACTCTTGGAACTCTGGGCACTACCCCGGCTAGTTCCAGTCCGGTGACTATCAAGGCTGATGTTATCCTCGAAGCTCCGTTTAGGTGTTATCGTGTGCTTTGGAGCAGTCGTGCTGCTCCCACGGTCAACAAGCATGACCTCGCCTTCCCGAGCAGGCGGACGCGTTGTCGACACAGAAGCGGCCGAGCCCGTCACGGATTTTGAGCCAGGTCCTGAGTCGTCCTGAGCCACCGGCGAATCGTTTGGTGGCATCTCAAACGGAAGTTGGATGACGAATCGAGAGCCTTTCCCGGCCTCAGATTTCAGACGCAGCTGCCCATCCATGTTCCGAACAATTCGTGCCACTACTGCGAGTCCGAGACCTAGTGTCTCTGATTTATCCTTGGCAGCCTCTTCATCCTCCTCTGAAAGCTTTTCCTCCTCAGTCGAGACCTGTTCCAGCTCGCGGAACAATGCATCCAGCTGGGAGTTGCTCATTCCACGGCCCGTGTCTTGCACAATGATTTCAACGCGCACCTTGGATTCTTGAACCTCAGCAGAATACACTTCGATTTTGACGTGTCCCTCGGATGTGTGTTGTACTGCATTGGCTGTCACGTTGGATACGGCCTGGCGGAGTCTCCTTTGATCGCCATAAACGTATGTCGGCAGTCCCGGGTGCTCCACGACTTCGTACTCGATTCCCTTCCTCTTTGCATCGTTCCGGAAGGGATCTGTCGCCTCTCTGATGCACGCAAGGAATTCAAAGACCTCATCCTTCACCAGACTATTACCTTCTTCCGTTTGAGTGAGGTCGAGAAGATCATTGACTGATGCTCCGTTAGACAACCGTCACCGAGCAGTCTCAAGATGTTATTCGATAGGGGCCGAGAAACGGGATGATACTTACTGACGTAGATGAGTGACTTGGAAGCGGAATGCGACCTGGCGAGGTTGTCTCTGGTCTCCTGGTCCAAAGTTCCCTCGAGAGCTATTTCTAGATAATTAATGATGGCGTTGAGGGGCGTTCGCACCTCGTGCGCAGAGTTGGCCAGCAGGAGTTTTGTCAGGCGGCTGTTCTGAAGAGCAGCCTCCTTTTGCCTCCAGACTTCGATGAATTTACCATAAACAAGGCATAGGACCGCCGCAGTCTCTATCTGCTCCTCAGACCACTCGCGGCATTTACCAAGGATAGTCTCATGCCACACCTGGAAACTCTTCCTCGGCTCAAGGTAATTCTGAGTCCCCTCTTGGATGATCTTTTCATACGGGTTGCCAGCCCACTTCACCTCCCGCACCTGGCCCTTCCTGAAGAAGACAATGAAGTCGTTGCCACCAACGCTGAGCGGAACGTACAAGAGCCCCGCAATGGAATGAAACCCTGGTGGATAGTGCAGATCTGGGAAATCCACCTTGACGTCCTGTGTGGTCAAGACTGAGCTGAACTTGCGGACCCTGAGATACTCGAGCATGGCGAGAGCTTCTTGGGAGTGATCGAGCCGACCCATGAACTTTGTTTCTCCTTTGATCGAAAGCATGCCGAAGTCCGCATCGAATAATTTCAGCAAGTCATCGGACGACGCAATAATGTAGCCTGAAGGGTTCTTATCAGTAGGAACAGTGTTGATGAGCTTGCGAGCCTGGAGTCTCGACGCATATGAAAGGCGCTCGATGTTCCTTGACACGGTATCGCCGACGAGGCGGCACATCTTCCTGATAGGGAACGATACACGCATGCCCTTATTTCCGTACGAATGGCAGGCAATAAGTCCCCAGAGCTCATTGAAAGCGTTGATTGAGATCGACATGGACGAGCGAACCTCCATGTTTTTGAGATACTTGATATGGATTGGCGACATGGCTCGAAGGTATGAGTGCGTCATATCCAGTGGGATATCGAGATCCTCTTTTGTGCGACAGACAAGTCTCGCAGTCTCCTGGTCCCGGTCGTAGAGAAGTCGCACCTTGTTGATCTTGTAGAGATCTCGAGCCTGCTTGGGGATATCTGATGCAGGGAAGTTCAGGCCCTTGTAGAGGTCTTTGGTCTGGATGGGATCGACAAGTTCCGTGACAACTTTGCCATTGAACGACGTATCGAATTGATATATCATGACCCGGTGGAAACCGGTCAGCTCCTTGACTATTCCCACGAGAATCTTCAGGAAGCGTTCCAGGTTTGTCGCAGAGGCAAGCTGCTCCTGAACCTGGGACATGATGTCGAAGACCTGCATGGCACCGGCTTCACCCCTTCTTTTGCGGGCACTTCTCAGGACTCTCAATGGCTTACTCGAAACCTCCGTGCTTTCGGTAAGCTCATCCATGGTTGGATTTGCTCGAAGCGTGTCTGCTGGGAGGTCTGGAGTGCGGTCGTCTTCCGGCCTCAATGGAAAGTCGTGGTCATCATCTAGCTCGAATTCACATATAATCAGATCCGGATGTGCTGCGTGAGCGTGAATAGCACACCAGAGCTTGACTGATCTAAAAAGTGGACCGACCGGATATTAGCCAAGAACCTATTCATGACTGGTGGTGACAGAAGCAGAGCAGAAGAGGTCAGAGACTGGGAGAGAGGGGTTGGAGGGAAACTTGTTTAGCAGCAGCCAAAATTAAGAGCACGAGAAACAGAGCGAAGTACAGAGAGAGTATACCTTCTCTTCGGTGGCCGTATAGACATGCTGAACACTTCGGGGCCATTGATAGCTGGATCAGCATCCTCATCTCGAATAAAATCGATGTGGTCCAGGAGATTGTCCGCCTGCTCCTCGGTGAGGATATCCGTGAAGTTGTTGAGACGAAAAAGGTCGAGGGGCGTATAGCCAATGATTCGCTTCGAATTTTCGCTGACATATCTCACGGTGAAGCGCCCATCGCTTTCTTCACGTATGGCGAGCAGGAGCCCGAAGCCCTGGACGGCACCCGGAGCATGAATCGGCTCATCCTCACACCTCTGCAATGTTCCATCCCTTCCCGTGATAACCAGATGGCCGTCATCAGTCATGACATGCTTGAAACGCGAGGTCATGAGTCCATCTAAAGCGGCGTCAGGAAGCCCGCTGGTAGATCCTCGTCCAATCGAGCTTCCCCCAAACTGGCTCGAGCGCACGTCCCCGGCTGGCTCAGATTCCTCCTCATCAGACTCGTCGTCAAATAAGGCCAAGGGGCCTGATCCAAGCCGCTCAGAGTCGCCCTGCACACTTGATCTGGGCCCCGTAGTAGTCGATCGTGTCCTACGGTGTGCATCGTCTCCACGTGAATACGGGAGTGGCGCGGCTGAAGACAGCACGGAGTCACTTGTAATGCTGCCGGTGCGCCTGCTTGGAGTCTCGGGCTGAGAGCTACCCTGTGCGTGGGACATGCCACCGGCCTCTGGCGGCATTCGTGGGAAATATTCACCCGAGGTCCTACCTGAGGGAGCCACGCTGATGACGGAGCGGATGGGAAAGACCCGGTCGAGTGGGTCTGCCTGGCTTCCATGACCAGGTTGGTGATCGGACGTGGCACTCCAGGCCGATTGCGCGCTGGGAGTTTCGACGGGATTCGAGCTGCCGCCGATCGAGGGCATCGAAGTGTTGATTCGGGGGCTCGACGGAAGCTGCGAAGGGGTGGGGCCGCTCTGGCGGGAGTCTGATCGATCTCGCAGCTCAGAGTCGGGTCCTTGCTCGACGGGATGCGAGCTGTGAGACGTTCCAGTGGGGGTTTGCGAACCGCCCGGCGTAGCGTCGTCTTGACCAGAATCCATAACCGCTTCGCTTGTGCTTTTCTCTCCGGAGACCTAGAAGCCTCGTACAAGATGGAGCAACTCCGTGCGATGGGCGTGACGAGGCGTTCTGTGGTGGAGCGTGGAGTGGCCGGCTGAGGTCTCGCAGTTTCGTGAGTCGTCGCTGGGACGTTCACAGCGTCTTCTATTTAAGGTTTGTGAGGATGTGAGGTCGGCAATTTGTGACACGAAACCTACTTATACAAACTGTGGTTTTCCGTCTCACACATTGAGCCAATGATTTGCAGTGGTGTGGGTGTTGCACCACCGCTTTGGGTTGTGTGTGCAGCAAGCCGGGGCAGGATAGAATGGAGAAGAAGTAGTGGAGTTCTCCCAGGCTGCGTGGGTGGAGTGCGGAATGTAGTCGAAGACTGGCAGACAAGACAGGTTCCTTTCAAGATCGAGCCTCTAGCTACCATAGATAGCTATGGGACCTGAGGGTATCGACGCGTAGGGCAGGGCGCCTGCAACTCTTGTTGGTCTATGGGAGCGTTGTCTCAAGAGAGGTTTCTCGCTAGGTGCCGTGGTGAGTCGTCGTCCAGATGAGAAGAGCATTGAGCACCGAGCATCGAACTAGGCATGGCACATCTTCCTCAGGGTACTGCAGGCTACAGGAACGGGAGGCTGAGAGGGCAGCGGTAGTTCAGGGCGGTGGCGAGGTGGGATGGGACGCAAATCAGAAGCGAAAAAGGTTTGGCTGCACCAGAGAGGCAAAAAGAGTGGCCCTGCTGTGGATGGGGAAGCTGGGAAGGAGGGATACAAGGCCAGGACGGGGATTCCTAGATGACGGGTTTGGGTGGGGCAGGCGCTGGTGTTCTGGAGTATGGGGTTCGTTTTCGTCTTTTTTCCCTCTGCAACAACGCTCTGCTGGGTCCTCCTTGGTCTGCTGGCCCGCCGTGAAAGCTGCTAGTCTATCATGTGTGTTCTGGGACGGTCGCGGTACGGTACCTAGGCTGGCCGGCAGAGCCCAGTACTGTCGTCATGACGATCGTTCCCCCTTCCGAGCAGCCAGGGGGTGGGTTTGGAGGGGGGTGTGCACTGGGAAGGCGCGTCTACGGGCAATCAATCAGATGGGAAAGTTGAAAAATCGCATTCGCCCCTCTCAAGCAAACAGCTCACAGCCCAAACTCTAAAACCCGAAGATGGGCCCCACACACCCATCTAGCCATCAACCTCTCTTTCTTTGACGATCCGGCAGCCTGGGAGAACGAACGAACGAACGAACGCACCCAGTTCTATGGGCAACGGCCGGCGACCTTCCAAGGTTCGGCTCTGATACAGTGTCACAGCCCGTGCCGCCCCAAGCAAGCAGACAGCCCAGACAGACAGCAGGCCTAGCACCTAGCACTCGAGGCATGACCAGCTGTCGTCGGCCTATCACCACAGCCGCGCTAGCAACTAGCCGCTACAACCAGCCAGCAATTCCAAGATTTTCCAAGGTTGTTCACCGTCCAGACGCGCAGGCTGCGGGTGCAGGTGCGTTGATGTTTCTTCCTGTGCGACGCATGTAGAGTACAAAGGTTGTGCTGGTGCTGGTGTATCCAAGAGCCGTTTCACTCACCAGAACACCGAGAGATCTAGGCACGCTGGGATCACCTTATGCGGCCAAACACACGGCCGCCATCAAAACCTGGCCCAGCAGGCACACTCACCACGAGCAGCTTATGCTTCTATCAAGTTTGTCTGCCCATTATCGACCAAGCCCAGGTCATGCGCTGAACCAGAACCGGAATGGGGCCCATGCTGGTGGGATCAGAGCCTTCAGGAGACAACCCTGAAACATCCCGAGGACTGGCAGACCGGTGGACGGGCAGCTTTCGCCCAAGTCAGGGCCCCCCGGCGCGCTAGAATCAACCAGCGAAACGTTTGACTATATGCCAGTATGCTTCTGTCGCAAAGTGCTACTGTAGCAGTAGGTGTGGTCTGCCCCACCCCGAACGCAGTGCCGGTCGTGGTGGGCTAGAATATGGACCAGGAGGAGCCAGTCGAGCCGCGACCGTCTGTATTCGATCGATCCTGCTGTCCCTGCTTGGTTACACAAAGACAATGCTGCCCGCCGGGCGTGTCGTTAATGCCCATGAGGGTGTTGCAAGGTGCACCCCATACTTGCGTTTTGAATATCCTGATTAGGGTTATAGCTGTCAGTTTCTTAGGATGGACCTGTCGCCAGGGCACGAACAAGTGGGCAAGCTGACGAGTTGGACAGTGCTTGAAGGCGGAGTATTTTGTCCGCCTCGGACAAGGAGACCACAGCTGGATGGGGCCCGGATGATCGACAGCGTTGGCTTCGAGCCAAAATTCCCACCTGAGCCACCTCTTCCCAACGCCCCCAAATCTTTGGCTGTGGAAAGTCAACAGACCACAAGCCACTGCGAGTCGCCCGTGAATTACCCGACAAACTGGTGGTGGATTGAATCATGCTCCACTCTCGTTGTACATTCATCCTTTTCTGCTGACGCGAGGAGAGGGAGTCGCACTGCAGTGCAGTAGCAAACTGCCGTGACGTACAACAGCTACCAAGGCGTGCATTGACGGTACAGACAATCAGACAACAGGGTCTCCAGATCGTGGCGTCGACTCCAATCTCGGTCCTACAGGGGTCGCGTTTGCGCCACCGGCTGTCGCAGGCTTAATGTCGTCATTGCGCAGCTCAGCCAATGTCAAAGCCGCGCCTTCGAAGCCGGGCTACCTTTCAGGCGATAGGGTACAACGCAGACAAATAGGCGCCTCCATAACACTGAACAGGTCTTCATGGGCGGCCAACTTCTTTTTTCGGATAATTTTCCAGGATGTAAAAGATATCACTCGATGACTTCAGTACAGTCTTCAGCAGCATTGTGACTGGTCAATGAAGCATGGTCGTATCTACAGTCCTGCTCCTGTGCGTTCAAGGTCCAGGGACCCGCCCTTTCAATACGTATAGCGGTTAGTCGCACTGCATGCGAACCACATCGCCAGAACGGTGTTGTTGCGCTGTGAAATCATGGAATATTGAAGTCGGTGCCCCAAGAGATGACACGCCACATGCAAGCCCCTTAATAAAATCTCAGGTTGTGTCTCTCAAAATCATCACGGGGCTATCATGCCATACATTGAGACGGTTGCTCTCTATAGCAATGAGACATGCATCCCCAAGCCTATTTATTGTTGTAAGTGAAACACAACTGGACATCGGCGTCGATAGTAATAAATAGGGACAAAATAGAAGTGTCTTGCAAAACAGACAGAACACCTTTTTTTGATTCATATTCGCACAATTCCTAACTTGCCGCGTGACCGCGTCAAAGCCGCTCAACTCACATCTCTACTGAGAGATCTCCGTTGGAAAATTTGCTCTACCCACGGAACAATATTGTACCTCGCTGGAAATATGCACTAGGTATATCTCAACACCCTGCCAGCCCAAAATATGTCACAGCAGAACAATCCCAGGTCTAACTCTACGCAGCAAAGGGTATCTAGGTTCTCAATAGGTCGGCAATTCACACGTCCCCTAGCCCCACCAAACACCCACTATGGCACAGATTGAAAGCATTAGCTGTGACAGGGATTCTTTTTCTTTTCTTATCCTCCCCTGTTTCTCCCATCGGCTTGATGCTGCCGAAGACATATAGGAGCGCTCCACTAGGTGGCATGGTCGGCTGGCCCTCAATGCAGGTCTGAGGCACGGGGCAAAGGATCGAACCCGGCCCTGTGATCCGGGCCTGTCAGAACGATGCAGCGTTACACTGACCACCGTAGGGGATGTTTGCCGAATACTTGGCTAAAGGAGTTTCTGTCCCATTCCTATCAGTGGTCACGATTGTTTCGTCCTCTTCACGTCCGTTTGAGCATCCTGTTCAGTTGATGGCGCATCCCACGGATCCACTATAATGTGGACCTGCATCGCGAGTAGCCTCAACATCGTCCTAGACCAAGATGGTTTCCAAAGAGGGCCAGTTGACTGCTGAGCTCACATATTGCAAAGAGTAAAAATGTATAAATGGGCAATGATGCCCAAGTGATATGGTTATGTCTGTGAATGTGCATCGTCTCAATTTTCTCTGCATTATCCCGCCGGCCCGGGTTAAGAAACAGTATTGATCTTTAAAAGTATCGAATTTTTCTTCTCTTTTGGTGATTTGTCAGAACTTCTCCGACTGGAATCGGGATATTCTGCCTAGAAACATGCCTCAATACACTCAGTACATTCAAGTCGTCAATCGCGATGACAGGCGCCGGCCAGCGCCCGCCGCAGCAAGCAGCTCACAGAGTATAGTACAACAGACTATGACGCTGGGCTGCGAAGTCGAAACCAACTTGAGGGCAAAGTCATCTGGCGACGACATCTCGCGGTTCGGTGATGCCAATGATCGAGCTGCTATAGCACAGTTTGCTTCCCGCGTCTGCACCTATTTTGACAACTATATGGAGAGCCACAGGAAAGCCGGTCGAATGCGCGTCAAGGGCGACCCGCGCTACGGTTCTGGATACTCCATCGCTTTGTGGACAATTGAGCGTGATGGTAGTATTCGGAAGGACAGTGCGCGGCAGGTCTCGATGGAGATAGTGTCTCCTATTATGGTCTATGATACGACAGAGTTGTGGCGCGATTCGGTCAAGTCAATGTACAAGTCTGTCGGAGACAGATATTCTTTCGAAGCCAACGTAAGTGACCACCTAACCAGTACTCGCTTGCAATTCCATCCAATTCTCTTCTGTCAGGTCAAGTGTTGCTCAAATGGCAATACCCACTCTCTCAAACTTGCTTTTCGATGCAAATTCCACTACTAAGACCCTTCTCAAATTTAGGAAAGCTGCGGACTGCACGTCCACTTGAAGCCCTCCGTCTGCTGGAACATGAAGGACCTGCGAGCCTTGTCTAAGGCTATCGTCTACTTTGAGCCATGCCTACAGGCCCTGCTGCCTTCACACCGTGCCAGCAGGAACTTCTACTGCAAGCAGAACTACTCAGAGAACCCCTACCTGACCTCACAAGACATCGGCCGCTGCTTTGAGACCATCAACAACATGAGCGGCATTTCGGACCTCAAGAATGTAATGAACTATGATCGCGAAAACGGCCAGACCAGGTACTACGCCTGGAACTTCACGAACCTCCAATGGGACGCACAGAGGCAGGAGGTCAACGGCACGGTGGAGTACCGCAACCCGCCGTTTGCCAACAGCGCCAGCACGTGTCTGGCGTGGATGGAGCTGGCGCTCACGTTTGCGAGCGCCGCGAGGAAGGTTTCCGTCCGGGGTGCCAAGATCAGGCAGAAGTTCTCGAGGGACTTGCCCGGGCTGAAGGAATTTCTTGAGTACGGGGCTGTGCAGTGGACCCATAAGTCTGATTATGAGAGCTTGTTCCCTCGGCGTAGGCGTTGAACACATGATGCTGGAGCAGCTATATCCCTTGGTCAAGGATGCTGAGGTTGTAGCTGGGCTATGCTCGCTGCCCGTTAGATACAGATTCGTACTTCTTTCACAGCTTATATCTGGAATAGGAATTTGAACTGGAAAATATGTGCCGAAGTAAATGCCACCCGAAATGTCATCTGTGACGTGCTCGCCCATTCCTATAACGAAAGGCAGTCGACCTTTACAGCGTTCTTTGGGAGCCGTTCAACACATGACGAATTATTGCAATGACTCTGCACCCTAATTTAATCAGTTACACACCTATAGATTTATTGGTAGTTCTCATCAAGTCTCCCAGCCTTGGAAAGGTTTCTTCCGAGCTACCTGGAGCGTCGTGTAAACGACCATCTTCGTTCTTATCTCTTCGTCGGCAGTGCACGCATCTTGGAATACCACATGTAAGAAGTGGGACGAATTCAAATCATAATATTCATTGCCTTTCAAGACTATCTTCGCTAGCTAAGCAGGGCCGAGCTTTGGTAGAATTGATGATCTGTGCCACTATTCCTCCGGCCCCCATAGCGGTTCCTCCGCGTCAGCCATGGACTGTCGAATCATGAACAACAAATGTTCTGAGGCTTCGAGCGAGATGTTCGGAACAGAACCCATTGCCCAATGGCAACAATTTGAGATGTCAACTCTCTCCTGAAACGCTCTTTGGAACAAAGCCCCCACAATTTCATTGTCCCGTTTACGTAGGGCGATGGCGAGGGCACAGAATTCATGCCTGCTTGCGACATTAATTGATCCGCAACATAAGCTCTTGTTTGAAAATGGAAGTAGGGCGTTAAAGAGCCCCCAGTTGAGTGAGAAGCTGGCGCAACATGCAAGTGGTGTGAACCCTGGGGCATAGAAGGGCCATCTTGTGCTCAAATACGCTCTCACATCCTCTGGACCAAGATTCAAATCCTTGATGATAGCCTCGATGTGGTCGTTATCCTGGGAGTAAATGGCGGCATGTAGGAGAGAGTGACCAAAAACGTCTCGGAATTGGGTATCCAGCCTCGAGGGCGACCAATCCACTGGTGCTCCAGGGTGATCTCTCAGTTGCGCCCGAATACTTCGCCGTATCCAGGGCCAGATGAATGATTTCTTGATGAATCCTTCATTATCGATCCATTTCCTGGAGTGTGCAGCTAAGAGACTATATGGAAGGACCAGCACGTCAAGAGAGACATCCAGGGTTGATGAATCATCGCCAATTCCCAGTATCTTGAGTATCCCCGTCATTCGGGAGCAAAGCGCAGTGCCAAGTTGCATTATCCTTTCGAGATCCTCCTTCTCAATCTGAGCACGTGGGATCCGACGTAGTAGGGTCAGGGCGCCGTTTTCATCTCCAGTCTCGCAGAGCAGAGCCGCAAGATCTCGTTGATGTGTTGCAAAGGAAGAATCATGTTGGCGATGTACATTTTCAGAATCAGAGGTGAAAGTGCTGAAGGACGTTTCGAGGTCAACAAGCAGTTGGCAAATCAAGATACGCTCCGCCGAGGGATGCTGGCGTGATTCGAGGAGCGATTTGAGATGATCCAATGTAACCCTTCGAATCCGGGACATGGCATGGAGTCTGCTGGCAGCTTTTTTGAAGAATTCCTTAGTTGGGTTCAAAGTTTTACCAAATTCTTCGTGAAAACGAAAAAGTTTCTCTAGCCACTGCGCCTGGCTTATTTCCACACGATACTCGGAGAGATGGCAGCGCAGAAATGTGACGATTTCCTTGCTATTGTTTTGAACATTTTTGGTAAGAACGTAAATGACTACTGGTTTGGTGAGAGCACTCACATATGTTGCAACGTTAGCTTTTGACCATCAATTTTCCCTGCCAGTGTTACATCGATTCCGTCGATGTCCTGTTCCTCCTTTTCGCGAAACGCTGAAGAAGCTTCACTGACACTCCGGCGAGAGGAGGAAGTAGGGTTGGTGGATTTTAATATTTGTCTTGTTCGGGGTCTCCTGGCAAAACTAGGTGGAGTGCATTTCTCTCCTCTGCGTTCGCAATGATTACATTTATCGGGCCACTCTCGATTCTGAGGCTCACACTACAAGTGTATCTTTCAGTATCCAGCTGGCTCTTAAGAGGGCATTGACGATCTCGTACCTTGACTTTCCTGTTCCTGCAATGATCGCACTTTTGTAGGTTCATTGTTTTGGCTTTCTTCCTCGGAGGCCAATCCGGAAATTTCAAATGGCCGTACTCTTTATCCTCCATTATAGGTCTTTAGTAATCTAAGATGATATATCAAGCTTGAATAGGCTATGATTTTCCAATAAAGTGTAGGAAAACTGCACCAAATCTGGGCTGAAAATGTGATAGATAAGGGAAACAAACACAAAGTAGGCACTGACAGGGTGATCGACTTATGTCTTGCTTCGGGGTTGTCTTGGTGAGGCTGTAACATTTTGAGGGGGGACAGGGGTCGATGCAGGGCGATTTGAGCGAAAGGTGCGAAGATTGCGAAATCTACAAGATCTGGGAAACCTGCGAAGTCCGCGAATTATGGTCTGGCTGTAATCACTTGAGGGTGTGTTGCAAAGAGGAGAGCAAGGCCCGTTTGGGGCACAGCGATGTAGGCAAAAGCGCCTACTTGACGCCACATGCAATCTAGCGCTGCATGCACAACAGGCCTCAACAACCACTTAGGCGAAAGACTCAGCTCATCCAATGCAGTTCCCAGATACGAGGGAGGGGTCACCTGCGAAATCTGCGAGGTATGGATGCCCTGCAAGGTTTGGCTGGTCTACGAGATGTGAATCCTGGGGAGTTGTTAAGATTTCAAAGTCAAATACAAGCCGCTTGCCTTCGCAGTATTCGCAATTGACCTGCTTTGAGCATGATTTAGGTGCAGGAAGCGTCAAACATGTCAAGCTACGCAAATTGTCAGTCTCGCAGAATTCGCAGTCAACATTGCTATAAATCTGCCTTGGGAATGACCCGATGCAGCTGATGGTTCCCGAAAGATGGTCCTACTCTTGATATCCATGGAATATCTATGACACTTCCGCATGTACAACACAGCCTTGTAAAGGGGTTAGATCTTATACTCCATGTACTTAGGTATCAATTGATACAAGCCTTGAGCTCGCTTCCCCACAGTAACTAAGATGCCGCCGTCCCTCACATGGTCTGCTGAGAACACCACAGCTCCCCTCACATCAGCACTGCCAACCACGCAGTCCAACTCGGATCAGACCGACAACATTGCGATAATCTTTGGTGTTGTTGGTACAGTCATCAGTCTCAGCGGCCTTGCCATTGGATACAGACAGCTCAGACTCTCCCGGCAAACCCGCAGCCAGACTGAAACCAATCTCTGGTGTTCGACTCCAGAACAACGTCAAATATCAGCCCATTATCCAATGTGAAATCATCATTCTTATCTGTTGCCGAGGTTTCCGATAACGCAAAAATTAACGGACGATTGGGAGGTTCAACTTCTCCAAGCGAAGTTGCGAAGAAAGCAAACTCGTCCTGCCCGGAGGCGGGCGAGTAGATTGTTTTACAACGGTAAGGATAATGGATCCAAACTCCTTTCAACACTATAGCTTAGACAATAGTCCCCGGCACATAGCTAACTCAAACTTGGCAGCTCTTATTGTTCTTTCTCTTCAGTCTTCATATTAGAGAAACAATGTTTCCTTCACAATGACGCGGGAGGTGGAAGAGTTGAAACAAGAAGGCTTCGAATATAAAAGGCAGCCTCATCAAGACCTTGAGATATCATACCTAGCGTACCACATCAATTCGAACTTTCGAATTAAGTCTACTTGAACATCCGCAGTACATTGATTTGCCAGGTGCATTTCCTGGTACATTTAAGCTTACAGTATTTTCGAGTTGAGCTGCATATTCCAACACAAACCATGGCATCTTCCAACAGCACCAACAGCAATCGTTGTGGATGTTGTTGTTGTTGTTGCAAGCACCTCCGCGATTCAAGTGGAGAGCGTGTCCAACCTGATGGTCCGATCGGCACTGGCCCTGTGCACAATCCTCAGAACGATGTGCAGTCGTCTGTGGCCGAGCTCGCGACTGTGAGCGATCATCAGGATCTGGACCATGACATGCCCAAAGCTACAAGTGTATCTAAGGCTCATGTTGTGGCCGAGCTCGCAGCTACGAGGCAGGAAGATATCGATCATCCGATGCCAGATGCTACCGTGAGCGAACAAGATGACGTTGACTCAGACGGCGATGTCAAGATGGCCGAAGCCGAGGAGGTTGACAGCGACGGCGATGTTAAGATGAAGGACTCCAAGTAGTGACCAATGCTTGCCCCAAGGCTACAAGCGTAGCTGCTGGTGCTGGTGAGGAACCTACCTCGAGGCCGGAAGCACATTTGCGTGTCAGGGTAAGTTGTCCAGGTAAGTATGACATAGCAAAATTTCCCTTGTGTAGTACATTAAGATATTTTCATACATTAATCATCGAATGGTCCCATTTCTCTTACTGAGTGATCTCGCGTGGCTTGTGCTTCTGACGCGAAATAATGTTACTTCTACTTTAGCCCTATGATCGACGAGACCCAGTATCTTGGGAGATGCGACATGTGAGAGAAGGATCACCATACTTCTAGAATCACGAACACATCTATGTACCTCTTCATTTGAACCCATGAACCAGAGTGATCCTCCCCAATTTCCCCAGGTCTGCAAGATTTCAATCTACTCTAGTACCCACATGCGCGATAAGCCGCACACCACCTCAATGTTGAGAAGGATCTTGGCAAATTTGAGACATAAACTGTCAGACACTGCCGTTGTGTATCCTCCTCCATCACGAACACGGCCTGTCAGACTCGCATCGACTGACATGCTTTCGTCCGATGTTTTGCAGCAATAAGGATATGACGTCTCGAACACCGAGACGCTCGAAGCCAATTAAGGTTGGAGCTCTGGTGGACCGTTGGTGCTATCTTTAGCAGGATTCAGGGCACTTGGCGCTAAGGCCAACAGCACAGGCCAGCGCGGCCCCGCTAGCTAATTAGAAGCTCAGTAGCGCCCCCCTCCTCCTCGCGCGGAGGTTTAGCCGAGTCTCGCGGTGCTGAAGTGGCAGAGTGGCCCTCGTTCAATCTTGGTCAATCCGTCTCCCCGGGGTGTGCGACTGAAACCAATCTCCAAGGATTCTTTGATTACCCGGAGCATCCCATAATCAAATCTCGCAAATTATCCGATCTGTTGGTTCGTGCTATGAAGACGTGTCTCGGTTTGGCACTCTAGCGACCCATCATTCCCCGACTTCCAAACACCTTTCATCGACCACCCAACAAGAACCAGCACGACAGCCTCTCGAGCTTCGCGAACCACCCGCCTTAACGCATACATCCTGAATACCTTACATTTTTGAGGAGCTCGAGTCTGAGACAGTTCGCCAAGATGCCTGGAGTCCGTAAGTGCCATGCAACCTTATCGTCAACCTCCCCATCCACCGGCAAGCATGCCGTCAACAGAGGCGGAGAGGAGCTATCTAGTTACACCGTGTGACGCGACGAGCACCCAATGCCCACGCCCGAGGTCGTGGGTGTCGAGCTTATCATGCCCTCCTTCTGCTCGAGAACCTACAACGGCTCTGCTGCTCTGCTCCACTGCTGACCTTTGTGCCCGTTCACAGCACCCAACGCACTCAATAACTTGAAGGCCAAGTTCAGAGCCGTCTTCAAGAAGAAGGACGAGAAGAAGGCCGAGTCCAAGCCCGCTGAGGCGACCAAGCCAACTGAAACGACTCCTGCTACTGCTGCTGCTGCTGCGGAGCCAGCCAAGACCGAGACCGCACCAGCTGGTAAGTCGGACGAGTCGAACAACCCTGATGCTCCAGCAGTTACTGATGTCTGTCTGTTCTAGCCGCTCCCGCAGCCACTGCCGACGCCTCCAAGCCCGCCGAGGAGCCCAAGAAGGAGGATACTCCCGCTGCACCCGCGGCTGCCGCTCCCGCTACAACAACCACCGAGGCCGCTCCCGCTGCCCCCGCCGCTGAAGCAGCGAAGCCGGCCGAGGAGGCCAAGCCAGCTGCCACCGAGGCTGCCCCGGCTGCCGATGCCGCTGCCCCAGCAGCAGCTCCAGCCGCTACAACCACCGAGGCTACTCCTGCTCCCGCTGCTGCCACCGAGGCCGCGAAGCCAGCTGAGGCCGCAAAGCCCGCTGAGGAGGCCAAGCCCGCCGAGGAGACTAAGCCTGCCGAGGAGGCCAAGCCTGCTGCTACCGAGCCTGCGAAGTAACTTGCTTTTGAGCGTGTGATGACTTGACCGGCGTCGAAAGAGTGCCTCGGCGTTCACATGGCCCTACTGCCCTCAAAATAAAGTACGAGACCGGTTGTTTGTTTCTTTCTGCCTTATTGCATATCGAGGGAGCGAACCTGGGGTGCGTAATGGGTGTCTGAGGACCATCGATGGGGATTCTTTTCTATCCACACGTGGGTGGACTCGTCTGGTTTCATGAGTTTTCTGTTTTCCTTTTCTTCTAATACCAGTGCCGTTGTTGTGTTGCACCCTCAGAGTTGAATAGATACCCTCAATATACCAGATTGCATTCAGACTGCCGTTCGGTTCGTATGATGAGACGCACTTGGGGCGAGGGACAGCTGCCAGGTCCCAAGATGTTGCCAAGGGCACAGCTGATCTACAATCATTCTACAAGATACGGATCGTCCTGTGTGCTGAGCTCAGTCCACGTCTCGTCAATATAAAGAAGTCAGGTTGCTCACCAGGCTCCCCTGGTGGCGGCCCCGTAGAGAGGTATCTAGGGGAGGGCTATCCCTTACTGGACATATAATTGACAGACACCGTAGTATACGTGTTCTTGTAGAGCCTAACATGTAGGTTTTGCAGTGGCCTGAAACTCGCACAACAAGCAGCAAGGCCACAGGTGAACGGGTCGCCACTGACAGCCGCACGAAAATTGTAGATGCTACTGGCTTTGCACGCAACGCTGCACTTTAACCAGAGGTGCTGATGTTGTAGCGATGACATGTGAGATTTTAACTCGAACCACCTCTATCTACTTTGCCCATGGGGCCTTCGTAACACTGATTTGATGCCCAGCTGTGCCAGGAGGACCGTTCGGCCGCGGGGGCCCAGGTGGTAACATTGTTGGTCCCACATCCGGAGGCCTCGCGGTCTGTGGCGGCTCAACCGCTCCCCTGACACCTGGAGCCACTCCTGGTGCTCTGGTATAAGGAATCCCGGGCCCAGATGGTCCAGGCATGCGTGTCGCTTGGGCCCAAGGCGCAGCTGTGCCGGCAGACTGAAAAGGCACAGCGGTGTTTGTAGGTTGGTTGGCCAGGTGGACAGACTGCTGAGGCTTCGACGCCTCGGGGTCGCTGTCCCAGGAAAACAGCGAGCCGAAGGGGAAGTGCTGCACGACAGGGAATTTGGACAGGACCTCGGCGTTGAACATCTTGATCATACCCTTGTTGATCTTGCCCCAGCCGTCTTTGATGCCCGACACGTCGTAGAGGATCGGGCTGTGTTCCCAAAAGGGGCCCTTCTTGACGTCGTTGATAAACCCGACGGCGGAGAAGTACATATTGGTCTCTCGTAGCCGCTCCACAGCTTCGGGCTTGAGGATGTCGCCCGGCTTTGGGGCCCGCTCAACGGAGCCTTCGAGGGGCATGGGCTCGTCCTCGGTGATTGGACGGGTGAATTGTGCAGAGCCGAAGACGTACGGCATGAAGGAGTGGTCGTCGAGACCCCAGACACCATGTGAGCCTGCTGGCTCGAGGGTGTATGTGAGGATAAGACGACGGACCACTTTGAGATACCTATACGTTATTAGTTTCGTGTCTTGATGTGAAAATGGTATAACCTACGGTTCAAAAACACCAAGAACAATACTGCGCTCGATTTCACCACCTTGAACACCATCTTTGAAAGCTCCCAGTTTCCACAAGCAGCCCACGAAAGCTAGAAAGCTCAGCTCGTGCCCCGTACCATAGTCGAGCCTTTGAGCACTGCCAAATCCTCCGAGAAAATACGCCTTCAGTTCATCGACGGCTCGTGCACTTTGGCCGTCTTCACTCCTCGCACCAGGATGTTGAGCTGTTGTGTCTTCCGAGGCCCCAAAGTTGAGAATGTCGGCACTCATAAACTCCTTCAGAAACCCGTCCACGTTGTCTTCCAACAGTTTGTACCATTTCCGGAAACTGATGTTTCCAAACCTTCGTGGGCCAGGGTCAGGAGGTGCCTCGTCGATTAATTTGGCTGTCCTGTCTAGAAGGTCCCTCAAGTTACGGACGGCTGGAGTATCCTGCCGATTCCCACCGGCGAGGGGAAACGTCTTTGAAGGACCACTGGAGGACTTCCGGGGACATAGCGCTCGGTTCAGCTGCATGACAAAAATACCGATATCGCGGTATGCCTTGGAGGTGAGGAAATGTGGGACATCTGGCCCCTCGTTGATGCATTTGGAGGGTACTGAGAAGCTGTGCGGGACGGATGGGTTGAGGATCTCCAGTTGAGGTAATTTGGCCGTCTGTTGGCCGGCTTGCTGGGAGGACTCCATCGTGGCAGATGTTCAGTTCATGTGAAAGATCGTGATGAGAGGAGCTGGCCTGTCAAGGTACTGATCAAGTATGCGAGCAGTGACAAGCAATGACTAGCTCCGATCCACAAGGTAGACAGACTATCAGGAACGCAGGGCCACGATGCGGGAAATGAGCTGCCAATAATTGTGAAAGTCGCAGTCGATACGTAGGAGATAGATGACCAGTCTATGAATGATCCAGGAAGAGGTCGACTTGTGGTCGCTCCTGAGACCAGCAAGCGATCCCAAAACCCAAGGGGTGAGGTCATGTCTGTTTGGAGACAAAGCCAGGGTTCGGGTCGGAACTTCACGGTCCTTTGAACCGTGTTGACTGACCACCAACACTTAGAATTGTGAGAGCAGCGAAGCTCCACTCACACCAAGCACATAAACGCATGGCGCGTCTCCATTTCACCCGTTTTTCTCATTGACTGGCCAATATCGAATTCATGAGGTCCCTCTGAAATTTGACGCAAGTCTCCCCCGATTGGGGCCAGATCTTGTCGCTCTAAGCACGAACAAGATGCCCAAAAGGCGGGGCACGCGGTTGGTAGCCCAACAGCTGCTTGATGATGCTGCCCAAGACAATGAACTGGACTATTTTGGGCAGTTCACTAAGCGGGTGAAGCCCAACAATGATGCAGACGGCAAAAATGCAACGCCCAGGAAACCATCAAAACCAGTGGATGACCGCGCGGCAAGGATTGCCAGGCGTGAAGCTGCTAAGCTCAGCCACGCCCTGGAAATCCAAGATCAAGCAGTCTCAACCCGGCGAGTGACGACGAAGCAGGCCGAGGAGGAAGAAAGTGAGGATGAAGGCAGCGATGCGGCCGAGGAAGAGAACGAGGATGATGAAGATGACGAAGACGGTGGCCCAGATGGTATCGATCATGACCGTATTACTCAGGCTATGAACCAAGCACGGAATCGGGCCATGAAGCCGACGATAAACGGTATTGGCAGGCGACGGAGTGATCAGCCGCCGGAAGTCGTGGCATCCTCAGACGAAGGAGAGAACAGCGAAGATGATCTCTTCGTGTCTCAAACCCCCAATGGTGAAGACATCGACGCGCCACAAAACGCACACGATAGGTCCAGGGGCAGGCCTGGTGCAAACGGGAAGGCCCCTCAGAAAACCAACCAGCGAAGCCACACGGACCATGACAGACCGCCTCAAAATGATAAGGAGGATATCTCCTCTCATACTGAGGACGAAAGCGAGGTCGACTCTCCAAGTGAAATCGAGTCTGATATTGCTGAGGACTCGGCCTTCGTCGAAGCTCCTCATCAAGGTGAGACACCAGTAACAGTCAAGGTCATAATCAACAGCATGGGTGGCATTTTCAAGACATTGCAACATCACGCGTGGACGGGAATGTCAGGTTGGACTCGCACATTCGAGAGCGATAACGACGAAGGCGGCCACAAAACTTGTGAGACAGCCTCTGGTAAGGCTTTGATGGATGAAATTCAAGGTCTAAACGATGTTCTTGATGAGGCAACCAGCCCTCCGCAGCAGCCTTTGAGTGGTGACCATGGTTTTATAACAACAATTGCGTACCTCAGGGCGAACAGTGTAGACGTTCAGCAGCATCTCGCAAGCATAAATCATACCGTCGACAAGATTTGTTCTCGAAAATTGCTTCCATCGCCGCCAGCCGCTGGTCAAAGATTCGCAGCGCGAGCCATCAAGATGAGGCAGGCGCTGCTGAGAGATATTTCTCGCCGGTTGATCCCGATGTTGATAATTACCGTGAAGAAGGCATGCGATATTTGTCCATCGGAGGATAACCGGTCCAAAACAATATTACATCTCGACTGCTTCACGCTTCAGTTCTTCTTGAGACCTCTTGCTTGGGCTAATCGACTCCACAAGGCACTCCAGAGGGGCCTTGAGCAATGGCCTCGGAACAATGAGTCTCAAGACGACGCAAACTATCCCGACAAAGACGGACCAAAGGCTGAGGAGTCGGAGAGAAAAGCACGCTCTACCATGGAGTCGCAGCTGGATGCTCTGCATTCCGCCTTCAAGAAAGCGGAAAGGGATATGCGGGACGTCGCGGCACAAGCTGAGAGGCAGGAACGCGAGGCTGAAGCCAAGCGGCGGGACCAAGAGCGGATTTTGGAGCGGCAACGGTCGATTGCAGCCGCGAAAGAGCGGGAAAAAGAAGAACAGAAGAGAAGAGACGAGAAAGGATTTCAAGCTTTCGTAAAGAGCTCACAAGCCTTGAGATCCAGACCGGATCCTATGAAGCAGTTGTGGGATCAGAGCCAGCCTGCCATGCCCGAGTCTTCCCGTGCCACTTCTACAAAGCATGCGGCGCCGGGCTGGAGCCCATCAGGACAAGGCCAGAGAACTGCTGGAAGACCTCGGCCTGGAGGTGGCCCTTCTAGGAACGTCCGGGTTCAGGTCATCTCAGATTCAGATTCAGATGATCCTTTTTCGGACAATTATAGGCCCCCTCCGGAGACACCGGGGTCGAACAGACACCCCTCCAGCAACCGTCGCCCACAAGACCTTTCGCCCGGCGTGGGTAGTTCACGACGAGCGTCTCAGGCGAGCAGGCCATGGTCTATTCAGGAAGAGAAAGCCATGATTCGGGCGATCCGATACAAGAAGAACTATAATGTGGTATCAATGGCACAAAAACTACGACGTTCGCAGGACGATGTTGCGAGAAAAGCAGCGTTTCTGAAGCAGGGCTACCGTGAAGCCTACATCCAGAAAGGCGTCGAGATCCCAACCTGGGCTCTGTAACTCTATTGTGGGAATTTTGGACTGTTTGTTGGAGTTCTTCCGGTTGTCGACATCCAATTGAGAAGATTGTTCCAGTCATTACCGTTGACAGCGCGTTGCTCATGTACTCCAATAATTCGGGAGGTGGGTTACAGAGGAGGCAGTCAGGCACTGCCAACGAGAGCATGCCACATTGTCGTGCGCGGTGTTTTGCCCGCGAAGAGCCTGTCACATGTATCAACAGCTAATAAGTGATAAGATCAATGGCACACCTGAACTTAATTACTGGCTATTGGTGACCGTTTGTCGCCTGCAGCGTTGGGCGAGCCTAATGAATTGGCGTTCTTGGTTCTCTTTGACATGGACATAGAGCCCAATGTGGACAATTGACAAGTCATAAACGCAACGCTCTCTTCTAAAATGGACATTGATCTATCAATCAATCAGTCAATCAACCAGTACGGTGCGTCGTCAGTAGCATCGTCAGCAGCGACTGACTCGGAGAGGCCGGCAGCAATCTCTTCTGCTCCCACCGCGTGTTCCACCAGAGCTCACTCCTCGGCTTGTCTACCGAGCATGCACCCTGCCAGAGGGGTCTTAGGACCGCCACTATGATCAATGCGAATGCCCCTCAAACCCGTTTCCAAGTAGCCAGGGTTCGTGCCCATCAGGTGGACTCAAATGATTAGGAGGAGCAGGAAGATCGGTTCGAGATCTGACACGCCCGGGCAGCCCAGATAACGGCTAGATGCGATAGGCGACATGGTCAGCATGGTTGTCGTGGCCCACTATGCTGCCCACTGTCCGCCAGCCAGCCAGCCACACATTGGCCACGGGCGTGCTTGGGTTGGTGTTCTGCTGCTCTGCAACACAGGCAGGGCCCGAACTCAAATAGGGATCAGCTTTTAGTGCAGCAAATAGTCAGGTCGAGATGGCCATCCCAGGTTGCAGTTGGCATTTTATTTGGCGCCGTAGGACCGTACCCAAGCCCAACATGATGCGGTACGTTCATCATAGGGGGAACCGCTGAGTTTTGGTTGGCGCCGTTCATGTCAACCACCAAATTTGATCGGTCTGATGTACAGTAACAGTACAGCGTGGCCTGCATGGCCTGCATGGTAGCTTGGCCCCTCCCCCCTGTCCAGCCAGCGCCCCGTGCACTGACAGACAGGCTCGGCCAGGCACAGCGCCGGGAGTGCAGGCCAGGGAGGTGCGGTTGCTCTCTCGCCTTCCGGACCTCCTCTGGGTGCCCAATTTTATTTCTCTCGCGACACGTCTGCTGAACTTCCTTCTCTCTTACACCGTACACGAGGAGCAAGCAAGCCAAACGAACCGAGAGACAGCTCGAGCACCACCTGTATTTCCATTTGCCTGCTGCTTGGCTGCTATATCTTGTAATTACTGCTCGGCCACCTTGGATTGCTCCAGCAAGCAATCCATTTGAACGTGTCCGCCCGGCCGTTGCACAGCAACCGAGCAACCCCTATACTTGGAGGGACTCTGAGCTTCTGGCACAGCTGGTACGTAGCTCCACGTCTCCATCTCCGTCGCTGCGGTCCTGCGCCCCTCCACGTCCAGCGTTGCGAGCTTCACTAGTGCTGAGGCGCCTCTGCAACGGCTCGACGGGCCACGCGCCAGCTTGTACTTGGGGCCACGCGGCTGACTGTGCTACTTGATCAGATTCGAGACCGCTTCATCAAGGCCCGCCCCTCTATACTTGTCAAGACGCCCGCCTGCAAGCCAACATGTCTGATGCCGAGGGTTTCGAAGTTGTCCAGCCTGAGGAGGCTCCTGCCGAAAAGCCTCAGTCGCCTGCCCCCGCTGCCCCCGCTGCTGCCCCTGCTGCCGCCGGCGCAGCGCCGCCCGTCAAGAAGCCTGCTGCTGCCAATGGCCCCAAGGCTGCGGGTACTGCAGCCCCAGCGAGGAAGCCAGCTACTGCGACGACCACAACGGCTGCGCGACGTCCCGGCACGACTTCTTCCACCGCCACAAAGCCTACCGCGAGCTCAGCTCGTTCGAGCGCTGCGGGCGGTGGACTGAGCAAGCCACCTACACGTCCGCCAGCAGGTTCGACTGCCGCCAAGCGGACCTCGACAACAGGGACATCATCTACGCAGCGCTCTCATGCATCGGCTTCCGAGGACGAAAAGAGCCGCAGGACCTCGACTCTCGGTACGGCTGCCCGCCGCACTTCGACCTTGTCCAGCGCAACCTCCGCCAGCTCGCCCGGCACGAAGCCAAAGCCCGCGGCTAGTTCAACAACCACGACGACGACCAGGAAACCAGCGGCAACAGCGGCGGCATCTCCAAGCGTTACTTCGCCGACGTCTTCATCGAGACCGAGCGCGACCAAGCCTGCGGGCCACACCAAGGATTCGAGCATCAGTTCGACCAGCACATCACGCACTGTGACAAAGCCAGCTGCTACCGGTGCCGTGGCAGAGGCCAAGAAGCGCCTGTCGACCCTTGCTGGCAGTTCCTCGACCGTTAGCGCACCGACGAAGCCTGCAGCTCGCCCGCCCTCCACGTCCAGTGCCAGTGCTGCCGCCGCCGCCGCGGAGTCTGCCAAGGAGATCGAGGAGCTCAAGACCAAGCTTGCAAACAGTGAGACGGAAATAACCACTCTCAAATCGCAGATTTCCTCGTCCGAGGAGAAGATCGCTGAGCTTACTGAGAAAATCAGTGCAGCAGCACCCCCTGAGGCCGGCGCTGACGACTCTGCCCACAAGGAGCTGGCTGATGAGCTGGAGAGCGTCAAGGAGAAGCACAAGGCTGAGGTGGAGGCTCTCGAGGCCCAGATCACGGACGCCCAAGCAAAGCTCCAACAATCCGAAGAGCAGCTTGAGAAGCAGAAAGCAGAGCTGTCCGAGCTCACAGCTGCGAAGGAGGCCACTGATGCCGAGGTCGCCTCCCTCAAGGAGGCCCTCGAGTCTGTCAAGGCCGAGCATGATGCCCGACTCAGCGAGACCGAGGCCAATCTGAGCAAGGCCACCGAGGAGCATGCGTCAAAGCTGGATGCACTGCAGCAAACACTCAACGAGCAGCACAAGGACGCTATAACTGCGCTCGAATCGAAGCACGCCGAAGAACTCGAACTGGGCAAGGCCACCTCGGGTGATCATGAGAAGGCTCTTGCGGACCAGAAAGCTAGCCATGAGGCTGCGCTGGCCGAGCTCCAGGCTAAGATCGATGATTTGACCGCATCCCAAGCTGCATTGGAGAGCGCCCACGAGGCCAAGGTCTCTGATGAGAGCGCAGCAACCGCTGCTCAGATCTCCGCGCTCGAGGCCGAAATTTCAGAGCTCAAGGCCAAGCTTGAGACCGCCGAGACGAGTGCGAGCAGCGTCAAGGCTGAGCTGGAGGCCAAGGCTGGCGAAATCCAGTCCTTCGAGGAGCGGATGCAAAGCATGGAGGCCCAGCTGAAGGAGGCCCAGGAGACGGCTAGCAAGGCACAGGGGGCCATCTCTAAGCTCGAGGAGGACATGAAGACAAAGGATGCGGAGATTGAGAAGCTGCAGTCGGAGCACGCTGCTATCGAAGACAAGCACAACCAGCATCTCAAGCAAATCACCACGGACTACGAGAACGAGATCAACAGTTTGCAAGGCGAGGCTATGTACAAGCGCAAGTACGAGGAGCTCGAGACCAAGCACAACGAATTGTCAGAGACCCATGCCGCTGCCGTCGAGACTCACACCAAGGCTCTGGAGGAAATCAAGGGCCAGCACGGTGCCACCTCCACTGCTCTAGAGACGGCAAAGGCCGAGCACGCCAGTGCCGTCGCCTCCTTGGAAGCGAAGGCAGAAGAGCACCAGAAGTCCCTTGATGCTCTTCTGGCTAACCATGCCATGGAGCTGGAGGCCGCGAAGAGCGGTGTTTCTGCAGAGCGAGAGTCTCTACTGGGAGACCTGGAGGGTTTGAAATCCAGCCACACCCAGCAAATCGAGATACTGAAGAGCGAGTCCGAGGCGACTCTCGCAAAGGAACTGGAAGCTCTGAAGGCCTCACATGCGGAGATCATTGACGCCCTGAACGAGAAGAGCGCGTCCGAGAAGCAGCAGCTGCTTGCCGCACATGCCGATGAGCTTAAAGCGACAAAGTCTGCCGGCGAGGGAGCACAAGAGGCCCAGCTGGCCCAGCTTGCCCAGCTCGAGCAGGAACTCAATGCCAAGCATTCTACGGAGCTGCAGAGTGTGTCCAAGCAGTTGCAGGAGCTAGAGGCTGAACTCAACGCCAAGCATGCTACGGAGGTGCAGGGCTTGTCCAAGCAGCTGCAGGACCTGGAGGCCGAACTCAACTCCAAACACGCCTCAGAGCTTGAGAGCCATATAGAGCAAGTCAAGAAGGGACTGTCCACCCAGCACGCCGCGGATCTGGATCAGCTGAAGAAGGAGCTTGAGACCGCGCAGTCATCTACAGAAGAGCTTGCTGCTCTCAGAGCCAAGTTGAGCGAGATGGACGAGCACCATGCTGCCAGCCTCGAGGCCACGAAGAGAGAGCTCCAGGCATCCCACTCTGACGAAGTCGAGAAGCTGATCGAGGCCAACGCAGCAGCCATCGAGAGGCTGAAGAGCGAGCATGCTGGCGGAGCCGCAGACGTCAAGTACGAGATGGAGAGCTTGAAAGAGCAGCACGAGAAGGCCATCTTGGAGCTCAAGAACCAGCATGCTTCTGCGCTGGAAGCCCAGCTCACACAGTCCAAGTCTGACCTCGAGAATGCCCTCGCGGCAGTCAAGTCGCAAATGGCCAAGGCAGAGGAGGAGATCGACGACCTCAGTGGAAAGCTCGCAAATGAGAAGTTTGCCAGAATCCAGGCCGAGGCTGACCTCGACGCAAACAGACAGCCCAAGACTCCCGACACGGCGGAGCTGGAAGCTGTGAAGGAGGAGCTCGCCAAGTACAAGAAGGCGTACGATGAGGCCGTGGCCGCTACCCAGGCCAAGTCCGCCAAGGCCTCAGATGAGCTCGAGTCACTCAGGGAAGACCTCGAGATGGTCACCAAGGAGCTCGAGGCGCACAAGCTCGAGGCCTCGGCCAAGGCGAAGACGGCGGAGGCAGACTACAAGGACATGCACGAGTCGATGACGGAGATTCTCAACGAGGCTACGAGCCGGGCTGAGAAGGCGGAATCGCAGATCGGGGAGCTGCAGGCGCAACTGAAGGTCAGGGAGGCGGAGCTTGCAGAGGTCAAGGTATGCCGCCCTCAGGACGCTTATCTGCGACAGGATCACTGACCATGTACGGTGTAACCTGAAAGACCCTGGCGACGCCCAAGACGCCAGTAAAGACGGGCTTAGCGGCTAGCAGATTCGCCGATGACACGGGAGATGATGCCGCCGCCGCTGGAGAGACGACTGGAGCCACGGCGGAAGGTGAGCCGGACCATTCTTCAGCGGCACTAGCTTTGGTGCGAAAGCCCCTTGCTACTTGCACTCCTTACCTTCGTTCCCTGCATTTATCGATGACTCTCTTCTTCACGTCCCTTGGTTGCGCAGTTCGGCATGCTGGAGGATCGCTGCTAACGGATGTGGCTGTTAAGATCGCTAGGATGAGACATACTTGCGCCTCGCTCGAATCTCTCGACAGTGATATGCGCGAACAAAACCTAAGAATATTGCGCAGCATGGAGGAGGCTACGACCGCCAGGATCAGCAATAACGATGTCAACCAGTTGGCGTAGGAGCCTCGCCCCTTCATTAGTGTCGCAAATAAATCAACGAGAACAACCTGCCCAACCGGGCCCGCAGCGTTCTGGCCCGTAAGGGCTGTCAACTTCGCAAGGTCTTCTTCTGCCCGACTGAGGAGGATCCGGCATCTATCCTTATGTTTTTAATTGCAAATACCCCGGCCCCGGCCGATATGTTTTTCTCCGGGTGGCAAGTTTGACCCATTGCACATTTGCACTTGTTCCGCGCGTTTCGAATCCTATCCTATACCCTTCAGTCTTTTCCCATGCTTTAGCAGTCTTTGGAGAGATTTTGGCCCCCCTTTGGCAGAGTTGGCTCAATCACTGGCTTGGCTTTGGACACACTGCTTCGCATCACTTGGGTCTCGATGAGTCGGACATGGGGGGCCTACGCGCAGTTTGTTGGTAGTATGGAGGTGCGTGCATACACATTGTATTCAGCTTTCTTGCTAGCAGTCGTCGAGCTTGACTCGCTTGGCGCGCTTAAGTGGATAGTAGAACGGATTGGGGGATCGATACCCCATTTTTCTCCCCGTCGCGTCTGTGTTTTACTGAGTCTTGCGCGTGATATCCTATTTGGTGCGATGTCATCTGCTATTGCGTGCGCCGTGTGTGATTTGACTGTTGTAGAGCGGCTTAATCGTTAGGGAATTGAAGGGTTTTAAGCTTGATCTGCACATTCAGATTTGGATAGATCAATGAGACTGTAAGTCAAGTGGTGTCACTGAGGGGTATAAGGACTCCGTGTACTTCTGCTGTTTGTCTCTTGTGTCCGGGCGATAGTGACTACCTCGGCACTTCAGTCTTAAAAGTTTGCGGAAATGTGAGGCAGCCGAGCGAGACTGCGACCGGGTTTAGCGTTATTTGATGCTTCCTGTCCTAATGACACTGTTGACTGTTCCTGAATAGTCTAGGTGTGGGGGAGGGGGCTTAGCACACCCTCCTCAGGAGAAAGTGTAAATATCTATTGGCCGCAAAATACTATTATGACAACAGCAGGCTAATGCAAGTCGACAGCTGCAACCCCCTTCCCCCACCAACCCATCCTAGTGGCTTAGATGACCTCTGAAGCTGACAGACATTTCAGGCTCCTTAGAAAAGTTTTCACGAAGGCTGCTAACATTGCGGGCTCAGGACGGGATGATCGCATACCTTAGCAGGACCCAAAGCTGCGGGCTTCAGTGAGCAGGCGTTGAGCCAGACCAGGAGTATTTCATGAGTAGCTTGAGCACATCTCAGCTTAAATATGTCCACAATTAAAGAGCTCAAATATTGCATCATGGTCATTGCAAGCCACGCCGACCATTACTGGCTTAGGAGGATTTGGATGTGCACATGTGCATCTGTCTGACTGCGCCCCTCCATGCCCTCCATGTTACGCAAGCGTGGGGTTAAAAAGTCAGCTTCAGCCAACGATTTTCATCTAATTGTCGCGTTCCATCGCATCTCTTTTCACCACAACTGGCTTGATACAGACCAGGCAGGACAAGACGAGATGGCTCCAGCGAAGTCTTTGATTTGTGTTAAAAAGTCAATCGTTTATGCCTGCCCATATAGACTTCGTCTGTAAGTGAGATCATGGCCACATAATTGACAGCCTGATCCGTGTCATCGACTGCAAAAAAAGAAGAGAAAGCGAGGGAGGAAGACAATTGTTCCAGGATGCGGCTTCCTTGGAAAAGGAAGAAAGTTGCCGAAGCTTCCCATGTCTCTGGTCCAGGTATTGAGGAAGCTGGCAAGGAAGGCACGTCATCCCGTGGAACGACCTTCGATACTCTTGTAGCACCAAGCGAGGTGCCTACATTTCGTTCCGAGACGCTACTCTCAGCACGAGATACCGCACATCGTACAACCGAACGCTGTGGATTGTTTGTCCTGGAGCCTCAAGAAGACAACGACCCTGACGCGATCGACATAGTTGCTCTACATGGCCTGAACGGTCACTGGGAAAAGACATGGCAATCCAGCAAACCGGGCTCGAAGGGTGGAGGACCAATGTGGCTGCGAGATTTCTTGCCACAACAGATTCCACACGCTCGCATTATGTCGTTCGGCTACGACTCCGTGTTGCTCTTCAGCAAATCAACCTCCGATGTTGGCACTTTTGCTGAGCAGCTTCTGGAGTCGCTCTTGTCACAGCGCATGAATGTGGCCGAGACACGTCCTATCATCTTCATCTGCCACAGCCTTGGCGGAATCGTAGTGAAAAAGGTGGGCTCTCAATCCTGTCTCTAGAAGCTCGTTATTGACCGGCCTTTAGGCCATAATTAGGGCTCACGAGAGAGATCGGTACCACAACCTTCTCAATTCCATTCACGGAGTCATGTTCTTTGGCACCCCCCACCGAGGCTCCTCGCTCGCAAGCTGGAGCACTGTTCTAAGCAATGTCGCCAGTTTCGCCAGCCTCGGCAGCAAGACAAACTCGAAGCTCTCTCAACATTTGCAGACCGAGTCTGGACAGCTGCAAGAGATCTCCAAATCTTTCGTCGACAGGGCCAAGGCTCTTCAGATAATCAGCTTCTACGAAACGGACAAAATGGAGTATCTGAATCAACGTGTGGTCGAAGAAGATTCTGCTGTTCTGGGCTTTCCAGACGAAGTGTCTATTGGTATCATGGGAAATCATCGCACGATGTGCAGGTTCGATAGTATCGACGAGCAGAGATATCGCTGTGTCTGGACTAACATTCAGAACTTGGCGGGCTCTGCGTCCAATCCAAGTAGGTCATATACCAAGGTCCACTCCAATTTGAATTTCAGGTGCTAACGAACATGCCAGAGCAAGCCAGTATTACCGGCTCAGATAGAGCCAGCGCCGGAATTGGTGCAAAAATGCCATTGAGCGTTCTTTCCCAGCCATCCTCCACCCAGAAGCCTAAGGGAATGTGGTCAACTGAAATGGAACAAAAGTGGAGGCCGGACTACCTTGGTGAAAACTTCGACCACGCCAAACATGACGACGTAGCCGAGTCTATCAACCAGAACGAGATTAAGCGCCAGCAGAAGCTGGAAGCAGCTCGACAGAAAGAAGAACGGAAAGCGCAATCGAATTTTCTGAAGTTGTTAAGGAATTCCAATTACGGAGCGCACAAGGATAGATACCCACCAGCTGTCCCTGGTACTTGCCAATGGCTAATACGCCACGAGAAGTACCGGAGCTGGAGACAGAAGCCGGCCTCCGATCTTCTCTGGCTCTCAGCTGACCCGGGGTGCGGAAAATCGGTGCTCATTTCTTATCTGATCGACCACCTAAAGAGCTCGGAAAACAAGATCCAAACTCCAGAAGTCGTCTGCTATTTTTTCTTTAAGGAAGACAACAGCGAACAGAAGGATGCTAATCACGCTATTGCAGCTATGCTTCACCAGCTGTATGCTGCCCAGCCATGGTTACTGAAACACGTCACCAACCAATTTTTGGATGAGGGCAAGGATATTCTACGCTCTTTTAATATGCTGTGGAAGCTCCTGGACATTTCTACTACGGATCCCTCCTCAAGAGATGTAATCCTCGTCTTCGATGGTCTTGACGAATGCGAGCCATCCACAAGACAACAGCTACTACAATCACTCACCCGGTTCTACAGCACCAGGGAAGGAAGCAGCCTCACAAACCCTCCATTTGTAAAGACAATCATCGCAAGCCGACCCGGCAATGATATCAAACACGCCTTTGACATTCTACCAACTATTCGACTCAGAGGAGAGGACGAGCCAGAGGCAATCAGCCAAGACGTCGAACTTGTCATTGAGCATCATATCGAAAATGCGACCCGCCGAGGAATACCTAGAGAAGTCCTAGCAGACGTCCGAGCAGGCTTGATCAAGGGCGCAGACAGAACATTCCTCTGGACTACCCTGGTCATCGACCTTTTAGAGACCAAGAAGGGTGCATCCAAAAGAGAGCTGATTGACATCCTCGATGCACGAGGCGACATTTTCCAGATCTATGACAGACTGCTCGATCAAAGCTCCGATGCCTTCCAAGCTAGGAGACTGCTCCAAATCGTCGTTGGCGCTATCAGGCCTATGACTCTGTCAGAACTGAGTGTTGCAATGGCTGTCAGCACGGATCAGATGACATTTGAGGACCTGAAGCTCGACGTGGTGCATAATTTTGAGGAGCGTGCGAAAGAACTTTGTGGCCACTTCATTCGCATCGTTCGTGAGACGGTCTACCTCGTCCATCAGACGGCGAGAGAATTCCTTCTCGTCGAAATGCAGGGCGACCACACAGACTCTCAGTCCTCAATCCCGAGGCCTCCGGAGAGCAAATGGCACAGTTCCATTGTACTCAAGCGCGCACATCACGAGGTGCTGAACATCTGTCTGACCTATCTGTCTCTTCTCAATGTCAAGTCCTCTCGCTGCCTTTCGATCGCGGAGAATCTCTTCAGTGATCTATTCGCAGGCAGATTCCTCGAGTACGCCGGCCGCTACTGGACGGTGCATTACCATCACATCGCCCCGGATCTCACTGCCAGCCAGCTCGACGCCTGTGCTCGACTGTGCAACTCAAACACGGTGGGATTCGGGGAGTGGTTCAACAGGGCATCCGAGCTCGCCCGGAACCCTGGGCACAGCCTGAGGGAGGGCGTCACTCAGCGCGATATAGCCTACCTTTTTGGCTTGACCGAAGTGGTTCAGCAGCTGGATCGTATGTTGAAGCCCGAAGACGTGCATGACCCTACGTTGCAGCAGGGTCCGGCGCCACCGCTCGTCCAGGACGAAAATGGGAGTATCGCTATTCCGCAGTCGCCCCGGCTTCTGGCCGTGGAGGAGGTAGTACATCCGCACACCATCTCCCCTGGACACCTATTGGAGTCGCCATTGAGCGAGGCCGTGGACACGGGCTTCCATTTGGTGGGAGCGAACCGCCGACGGCTGTCCGATTGGAGTGACCACAACAGACGGCATTCATGACCAAGTCGAAGATGAATTTCAACGTAAGGAAATCTTTGGGATGGATCAGATTTCATATTGCGTGGCAGCAGTAACCTCGAGGAATCCATGCAATTTGCTCAGAGCGCACTTCCATCTTTCTGGATCACTGGCAACACTTAGCTTTGTCACGGTCAGTAACGAAATCAAAGCTCTCCCATTTGCAAAATGCCATAACTTGCCGACATAGATCAGAAAATATTCTGTCTTACCAGCAGATCAATTAGATCAATGTGCGACTATTCTGCACCCTTGGGCTGGATATTTCCATCAAGCGTCGTCTCAGCCTACGAACAAACTATCGATCAAACCCAAAAGCGACAACAACAAGTCCAGAACGCGTCAGTGGTTATTTGAGGACTCATTGTCAAGCAGGGGTAAGTATGAGTGCTGAGTTTTGTGACTCTCCAGCAGTAGACTGACAATCAACACAGGTGGGCTTCAAAGGTTGCCGTTCGTGTCTCCAACGGCCCTGAACACCCACTCCCTCGCCTTATTGCTTGGCTACCGCACGAGAGCAGTCTCAGGGCCGAGCTCTTAGCGTTCGCAACCACAATTGGACAACTAGAAATCAACGGTTCGATTGCTAGAGATCGGCATTAGGGGAACGTCATCGTGGCGCAAACCACTGCGCTGTGACACCTAGACAACTTGGGAAACAATTCAATATATAGTGTCACAATTTCGCGCCACTTGAAGTTGCGCTGTATCCTGGCTGCAGGTATTCTTAGTCTCCTGGTTGATTTGCACAACTCATTTGACATTAACTTCTACTAAACGCCGCTACTAAACACCATGGTCAACACCAAGCCCTTTGATGACAGCCGCTGGGTGACACAGCGAGTTCTACTGTCAGGCTCACCATCAACACCCAGCGAGAATTTCATCAACTATGTCAGATGCCCTCCACCAGAACACAACAAGCCGAAAGGTACCATACTTCTGATACATGGCTATCCGCAATGCTCCTATCAGTTCCGTCATGTCATCACGCCGATAGCCGACGCAGGCTACACTGTCATCGCACCCGACTACCGCGGAGCTGGCCACTCCTCAAAACCCCGAGACGGGTATGAGAAGACGCAAATGGCTTCCGACATTCACGAGCTCCTTACGAAGCATCTTGGGATCAATGAGCCGGTTCACGTGGTCGGGCACGATATTGGAGGAATGGTAGCTCACGCCTATGCCTCGCGTTTCGCTGAGGACACCGCCAGTGTAGCTCTAGGAGAATTCCCCATGCCTGGAACCAAGGTTTATGACACTTTCTGCCGGGAGAACTCTGGAGTGTGGCACTTCCACTTCCACTGGCAGACAGACCTTCCAGAGCTGCTCACCCATGGTAGGGAGAGGCAGTATATCAAGCACTTCTATGACCGTCTGTGCATCAATCCCTCCGCCATCACGCCAGCTGATGTCGACTATTACGCAAGCATGTTCGAGAAGGCGGGAGCTATGAGAGCGGGCTTTGATGTGTACAGGGCCTTCCACAAGGACGCCGAGGAGAATCGCGATTGGGTGGCGAATCACGGCAAGTGTGCGGTGCCCTGTATGTCGTTGAACGGTGAGGGGAGCTTCTTGGCCAGCATTGCCGCGGATCAAAACATGGAGGTCTATGAGGCCACCGAGACTGCGACCATTCCGGGCTCCGGCCACTGGTGTGCTGAAGAAAATCCGGCGGCCTTCACCCAGACCGTACTTACTTGGGCGGGGAAGAATGGGAAATCATAGAAAGCCTAAGGCTGCTTAATTCAAACGACTCGAAAGGACAACATTGCAAAGTTTAGCAGTTTCTCAAGTGCTGTCTGTACTGTTGCAACAATCCACACAAAAATTTACTGTTAGCCTGCTGGCATTCACTTGAGATTGAGCCATGGTAATTAAATAGGCCAGTATTGGTTACACACTCATTCAGTTGGGGGCAGTGACAGATACAATTACAGGACCAACACAGTCGTAATTCACTGCGGCTAGGTTTCATTTACAAAATCTGGGCAAGCAGCTACAGATTCTCCCCGTTTACATTCAGCACGATCCCTTTCCCTCAAGCCTTTTACACAGCACAACTTTTGACACCTTATTTGATGAGCGTGCATCAATTTACTCCTTCACAATCAAAGCATCGAAGCCACTGCTAATTAGTGGAAGCTGAACATTTGGCAAGGTTTGCTGTGGACCACTCGACACGCTGATCAAAGCGCCACCTCAACGTGCCAATTCGTCAACCCAGGACCAGTCCATTGCGCTACACCTTTGGCGTGCAACCTGACATTAGATCATCTTGCCTTCAATCTCATTTCAACACACTTTTCTAATTGCTCCACTGTACTTCCCCCATCCAGTGGGCGCCGTCACGGACAAGATGAGCTATCCAACAAACAACACCTACCGCCGCTACAAACAGGACACCGAGTCCCTGTTTACATGGCTTTCTGACTCGCTCGACAAACTTGGCATCGCGTTTGATGAGAAGATAGAGGAAATAAGCATTAGAAGTAAGCACAGCTTAAATTTTGCCCACACTTTCGTCTGCTACAAAATGAGACTTGCTAACTTATTCATAGGGCTACTAGAGCTAGCTTCCCAGGCCCACAGCGCGGGTGTCTCGATGCCATACGAAGTCATCTTTTCCGTCGAGGACGCCCTCAAAGTACGCAGACAGTATCACGCGTGGTACAGCAACCATCTCTCCGAGGATTCCTCCCAAGACCATCACAAGAGAGTTGACCAGTCAAACAAAGCTCACGCAGCATTTATCGACGTGCTACAGTACATTCATGACCTCTTCGCTCCAGCCAAGAACCCAGCCCCACAATCGCTGCAGTCTTCACCAACAGACAAGAAGATTCTTGACATCACCAACTTGTTTGCAAACCTAGGGGCTGAGACCGAGGCTGAAGTGCAAGACCCATATCCTGGGGCCAATCTGCCGTCTGGTACAAAGCTGGCCGTGAACCCCTCGGTGGTGGTGAGACGGGTTCGAGCGCTCACTGAAGACAGGCTTTTGGAGCTTTACTGTCTCTTGGAAGATGCGAACAAGATACGCCACTACCTACGTAAGAAGTGGGCTGAATACTCCACTCGGAAAGTCGACCTTCAGACTGCCGCGGTGACAACACAAATGGCCTTAGAGTCGTTCTTAGACATCGAGGATGCTTTCGAGCGCAAGCACGGCAAAGTCCATGAAGATGAGGCCAGTGAATTTGACTCTGAATACAGAAATATCTACATGGACCTGGCATTTGGTGATCTAGCACCTTGCTTAATGGAGAGCACTGAAACCATGTCCAAAAAAGAGAAAACAGCCGCTATCATGCGGGCGCAAGATATCGCGAAGGAACGCTGTCGAAAGATGGAGGCGTCAGCATGGCACGTTTCGGACGATCTGAGAAACTGGAATTTCCAGCCAGCATACTATGCACTCCGACACATGCTTGCAAAGGGAGACGAGTGGGTGCTCAAGCAGTCTTGTCGCACGCCTGCTGATAGGTCTGATGATCTGGATGCTGCGATGGGGTTCTCCAGGGACAAGGATCGGATGCACCAGATCAAATTCCACACCGCTGCAAGAGAATTTATGGACACCTGTGTTGATGTATACGCAGTGAGTCTGTTCTTCCGCCAAGATCAAACAGCTTGTGCAACGGCCGACATCATCACCCTCATGTGGGCAGGGCCGTGTGATTACAGCATTGGTATGGTCCTCTACATTCAAATCTCGCATGATATCCGCACAGCGAAGACAGAATCTGGGCAAGCCAACATCATCACTCAAGCATCTGATGATTACAAGAAACTGGGATGCGAACTGGCTGGTTTCAGCCGAAGATTTTTCAATCCCTTACAGCGGTCATCAAAAGCCTTTGAAAATCTCAAAGCTTCGATTAAACTGGAACAAGCCTGGCTAGAAGCAAAGATTCCCGAGGGGATAGGTCAGCTAAACAACAGGAGGAAGAAAGCAGTCTCGACGCTTTCGAATTTTCCCCTCTTGGTCAATCCGGTCCTTGCTGGCATGTTTCTTTTCGAACAGTCATACAAACGCTACCGCAGTCGCATATGCATGGTAAACTGCAAGTGGTCTCTGGTCCCTTTCGCGCATACTATGAACTGGCTTGCCGTAGCAGACCAGAACACAACAGCAGACTTCCGAAAGATATGGCCCGACTTCTACACAACACTCGGCATGATCGGGCCTAGGCCGGCCTGGATGGGTTCCGGACCTCCAGAGACTTTAAGAAACTGCCGGAACCGAATGCTCCTAGCTTGGGGGTTGCCACTCACCGAGTTTTACCAGAGGATGATTAATGGCGACATTCCCAGAGTGGAGGAATTGATTAGGCGCATCGCATACAACAAAACCGATCGCTTGAGCACAGAGCTAATAGAGACGATGTTGGGTGGTGATTTGTCTATGCGAGAAAACCCGAAGAACTTCCAAAAAGTTCTGAGAGAGGCTAGAAAATATACAGGCCAACTTCTGAAGATCGAGTTCAACCAGCCCGTACCACTTCTGGAAGCCGTCCACGAAAATGTCAACTCTCAAGAAAGGATCAACGCCAAGCAGAGCCAGATTCGCAAGATTGTCTTGTCGTCTACCACCGTGTACGGGTCTGGGACCACCGCGAAGACTCCCATCAGCAAACCGAAGGGCCACCAGGAACCAGACATGCTGTCCTACATTGACACATTTTCTCGCACGGTGAAAGCCGAAATGCCACGAATCATGTTCCCCTATGATGAATTGTCCTCTATATGCTGCGATCTCGCATGCATACTCCTTGACGGTGCGCATGAGGCCGCCACCACAGACCTGTTTGACAAGGCCAGCGAGGGTGAGGGGAGGGACCTGTTTGACAAGGAAGACATCGAAGGATGTGGTGCCTATAGCGTCTGCTCCATGATAGCTCTCGCCACCATGTTTCGAGAAAGGAATGAGGGGGGGAAGAAATGCAGTTTGGAGGAATTCTTGCTGAAACTTTTGGACGAGCAGTGGAAGAAATCGCAGCACCCCAAAGATGAGCTCACCAGAGACTTTGTGGAAAAGTGCAAGGGTTTTGGATTCTTGGTTCCAGAGTGTGCGACTGAAGCTTTGTCATCTGGGGAGCCACCCGGGGCGTCGACTTGACGAGTACCGGGAATGTCCAGAGCAACCACGTCGGATCTGCAACCAACATAGTAGAACGACATGAAGCTCATTTTGAAGAACTTGACTGAAGAATGGGAAATCGTAAGACTTAGTTCGTCTTCTCTCACTTCTCTGATAGAAACAGCCGTCTACAGTTTCACTCGCGTCCTGGTCCAGGTGTAATGGTATTAGAGAGGGTTGAGACTTGCTATATTACAATCTAAGTATGCTAGTTAAGAAGATTCCGCAGCTGCCCCAGCAGATCCATGATCTCAAGATCTTGCCTCAGGGCATCAATGCTCTCTTCTGCAGCTCGTTTGATATCCAGACACAGCTTCTTGTGATGCTCAATCTGGTCCACAATCTCTTGGAACTCTTCTAGGTCATTCTCCAGCTGCAGCAGGCTGTCAACAGTGTTGTCCCCCGGCGCATCAAAGAGCGGCTGCAGGCCGCAAAACTCTTTGACAAAGGCATGTCTCTTCCGGAGCTCCTCCACGGATGCGAAGATGTTGTCATAGAAGAAGCTCTCCCGGCCCTTGACGTACTCCTCGGCATCGCTGTCAAAGAGAGATTCATCCTCCTCACCCTGCTCCTCGCCGGCGACAGCGTGGGCGGCAGGGGGCGTCTTGGGACCCCCGGGCGACTTGGAACGAGCCCTGGTGCCCGTGTTGGCCCTGGAGATTCTTTTCGCCCGTGGCATCCCAGACTCGCCGCCGCACGCGATGCGGTTGAAGCCGTCCTGGGAGATGTACGAGTTCGCAAGGGCCGCCACCAGGATCTCGGCGATGGGCAGATCCTTTCTGTTCCAGAGTCGAGTGACACACCGGCAGACATGGACCGGGTCGAGCGACATGTACATCATTAAGGACATCATAATGGCATACGCACGGTTGACGCCTGTGAGCTTCCTTGTCCTTCCCGACTGGGGGTCATAGGCCTTGGACCGCAACTCCAGCGTGACAGAGCAGCCGGTGTACAGCGGGCCCTGCAGCAGAGGCTTGCGGCCGGACGGGTCGATGGCAAGGCTCTTGTCCCTCCTGCGCCTCAGGCTGCTGACGAGAGCCCGCCAGCTGTCTAGCACGTCGGCCTCGCTACTCAACACAAAGCGAGGCCCCTTCTCGGGTGCGTGCTGCCCAAACATGTTGTCGACATTGGTCACAAAGTCTCGAGCACTGCGTTCGTCCGCGTCCCTGGGGGCCGCGCATTTGCGGTCCCAGTACTTTGTGGACGTGTCGATATACCTTTCGAGATGGTCTATCAGCTTGGATAGCTCTGTGGGTTTGAGCCACGCGCCGTCACGGCCTGCGACGGCGATCGCGACGGCATAGACCCCGAAGCCCCTCATGTCTCGGTAGTGGTCGGGCTTGCCAGACTTGTTCATGAAGTCTCTGGCGAATGTTCCCAGAACCAGAGACACGAGAACCTGCCTAGGGATCGTGTGGAGTATTCTCCATATGTCCGACCGCGGGGAACTCATCTCCTCGAGCCTCGTGATGTAGTCATCACCGTAGCCCTGTAGATAGCCTGGGAGGTCCTGCGCGTCATCAGCAAGCCTCTGAAACATCAGGCCAAGCTCGTAGTAAGATTTGCCCTGCAGGAGCCCGGTCACGAGGGAGAGCCTTGTGCCAGAGAGCAGGGGAACCTGCGCAGTCGGGTGCGGGTCAATTGCATCGATGGTGTCCATGACGCGCCTTAGTGTGTGTAAAAATATTAAGAGTAATTTGGATAATGTAAAATGTATTCAATTCAAGAAGACTGGTCCCTAAAGGACTATGTTGGCGGCTTGACGGTGTCAGGACGAGAGCGCTGTTGAAGGGGAAAACGCGCCTCGATATCTTGCTTGCTGTACCTCAAACCCAACTACGCGACAACACCCCAAGAACGAAACATCAACATCCACAGCACACGATTGAATCAATTTGAACGTGTTTTACTTCTTTCATTTAATCACTCAATCATGTCTGAACAAGAAATCATTGAAGAGGGCCGCTACCTGGTCGAGTCATTCCAGGTGCTGCGTGACTACGCGTTGAGCGTGTCGAAGCCTCCTGAGCAAGAACTCGATTCTCGGGAGTTCTCTCGATTTACCGAACTGTTCAAGCTAGTCCTCACGGATATCGAGAAGATGCACGATTTGAACAAGGCGCGAGAGGCCGAGATCGTCAAGAGAAAGGGTGAGATCGAAGCCCTGCACAGCGACGCCGAAGTCTTGCACAGAGACGCCGAGAAACACAGATTCGAGATGTCCACGGCAGCGGAGGAGGCTCTGAGCACAAATAATAGCGCCTCAAATACCGCACAACAGCTCGAGAGCATGCGGCTCGCGGCTGAGCGTGAGAGAAGAGAGCTCCAGGTTGCACTCGAACGGGTGGCAGGTACCGAGACTAGTCTCTCAGAACGCGAGAAAGCAATCGAGCGGGCCGAGCAGACGGCTCTCGAGGCACGAGGTGCCGCAGAGGAGCAGTCCAGACTGACAGCTCTTTCTTGGCAAAGAAATCGTACGCTTGTCACAACGAACGAAGACCTCCGGGCCAGCCTTGAAGGGGACCAGGAGGAGGCCAGACAAGCTAAGCAGAGGTACGAGGACGCAGAAGCCCAGGTCGTGCGTAATCGAGAATACCTATCTCAGGAGAGAGAGGATGTCGCAGAGATCAAAGAGCAGCTCGAGCAACAGAGGGCGAGTGCTGCAGAGATCAGGACGCAGCTCGAACAAGAGATGGCGAGTATTGCAGAACGCCAGGCCTCACTTGATGAACAAGTACGTCTGATGCAGGCCCAGACGGAGCAGTCAGATGCCTTGAGGTCTGAGGCAGATGCTCTCAAGTCCGAGGCAGATGCTGTTAAGTCTGAGGCAGAAAGACGCAAAAACCAAGCCGAAAGGCTCATGGAAGATGCGACCGCCCAGGCGGAAAGAGCAAAACAGCTGGAGCGTGACGCAACATCGCAGTCCACGTCGGCCGAGCACAAGGAGCAGCTTGCCGAGCAGGCCCGCAGCCAGGCCGTGCAAGACCGTGACCTCGTCATGGCTGATCGTGCCCAGGCAAGCAAAGATAACGAGTCCATCAGGTCTCTCCTTGAAAACATCAAGGAGCAAGCTGCACAGGCGGCCCAAGACCGGGCCGCCGCCGAGTCCTGCCTCAAGACGGCAGAGGAGCGCATGGCAAAAGACCAGGCTGATGGCAAAGTCCTCGTCCAGCAGGCCCAGGTAGAGCGAGAGGAGGCACGTAAGTGCCATGCCAATGCCGCGTCATTGCTCGAGGAAGTCAAGGATCAAAAGGCACAGCTGGATGAAGAACGTGCTGTTGCTGCGGTATCTGTCGAGGAGGCCAGGGCCCAACAGGCAGAATACTGTTCTGTTGCCGCGTCTTCTCTGGAACGAGCCAAGGAAGTCCTTGCGGCCAGTGACACAGTGATCCAGGAGAAGATCCAGGACCTCGAGAGGGCGAATAAAGTTCTGGAGACAAAACTTGAAAAGAAGACTGAAGAGTCTGATGGCCGTTATGACGACTGGCTCTCTCTTCGAGCATCAATGGACGCCAAGGACCTCGACGTCAGACGAGGTGCACGGCAGCTAGAGGAGGCCGAAGAGAAGGTTAGCGATCTCAGCGGCACCGTCCGTGAACTCAAGGCCAAGCTGCAATCCGCAGAGGACAGGGCCAAGTCGTGGGAGTCCAAGGTGGACGACTACCTCGCTGATGCCTGCGAGGGTCTCAAGATCCAGAACCAAGACCAGAAGTCAATGGCGTTCCTGCAGGAGTACCAGGAGGAACTTGAAGGCTATGAGAACACACTGCGCGAAAAGCTCGACAGTGAACTCGCAGTCTACGGCGAACGGAGCGACGAGATATCGGCCGAGATCGCCGAGGTATCCGCGCAGCTGGAAGCCGTCAAGGAGAACTCCGAGCAAGAGCTGAAGACACTCCAGAAACAGCTTCTCGACAAGGATCGGGAACTGCAAGGCTTTCGTGAGGAGTCCAAGCGACTGAGGACCGATCGAGGCAACAGAGAAGCCGAGATCAGGCAGGAGTGCCGCGCTGCTGCCGATTTCGAGAAGCAGCGCGCGGACGGCCTCGCCGCTGAGCTGCAAAGATACCGTCTACTCACCGAGGGAAGCCCCTGGAAGGAAACGTTGCAGCGTGTTTTTGAGTACATAGCGGGCCTCGATCTGGACCATCGCAGTCAGAGCCATGGCCCTGGCTTCAGAGGCCTCGACGACGAGCGGTTGATCCGGCCTCTCACCTATATCCTGGCCAGGGAAGACAAGCGTGAAAATTTCACGGCGTTCTTGGACTCTACCTCCAAGCCTGACGGCTGGTATTGCATGGACCAAGTATGCGGCACGGACCACGACGCAGTTGAGCCGGTGGATGGCGAGTGCCCATTCCATAGCTATACCGATTGCAGGCTGCAAGTGAGGCACCTCGACGCATCTTCAAAAGGGAAGACCCTGGACTGCAGGGTCCCATTTCCGGAAGAAGACGATGAGGAGGATGATGAGGACGAGGATGAGGACGAGGGAGGTGTGCAGTTGATAGACTAATCTACACCACTTTTCCGTCCCTCGATGTGCTGCTAGTTTGACCTTTGGTTCCCCGTGCCTGATCATGTTCCGTACGTGACATGTCAAATACAATCGTAAGTCAAAGGTGTTGGTGCATAGACAGGATTTACAGAGTATCACTGATGAACTACGGCATGAGTCAGAATCCGATGAGAGCGAGGTAAACTTCAATGCATTTCGGCTATCTAAATGTTCTTCAACTGCCAGATAAGGTCTGGCGGCTGCAGGCGCAAGTCGACAGCCTCATGTCCCGGCTCAGGTCCAATCCGCAGCGTTCTTAGACTGTTCATCGAGACCAGGGCCTTGTCGACAAACCGCAGGGTGCTGACGCTGGTATCGAACAACACGGCACTTGGCCAGTCCCTGTGCGAGCAGAGCCCCACGCTCTCGCCAAACAGCCGGCACAGCTCGTGCTGGCGGGGGTCAACTCTGCCCCGTATGATATCGAAGACGAGCGCGCAGGGGTGCTGCTCGAGCTTGAGCGACAGCGAAGCCTTGTGGCCGTGCCAGGGGAGGCCAGCGGCGAGCGGCTGGCCGAGGCGACACTCGACAAGGTCCATCATCTGCCAGAACGCTAGCGCAAACTCGATCTGGAGCTGGCCTGATTGCTCCTGGAGCGCCCCCGAAACACTGCCAACGAGCTCAGTCAGGATCTGCACCGGCACCGTCTTCGTGCCGCGGATGCTGACGATCAGGCCGTCCAGGATCGCCTGGAAGCGCGGGCTGTTGAGCCTACCCATAGTCGCCTCTCCCAGGAGCAGGACGACGCCCATCTGCAGGCTGGCGATGTGTGATGGTAGGGCGTATGCCCCGAACGCAGTCGCCGCCAGGTCGGCAGGAAGACCGTTCCACGACCGGAGGATCGTCCATGCGGCGGGTGCGGCGTTCGCACAGCCGGTGCTGACCCCCTCGTAGATGGCCCTGACGAGGCTGCCAAACGCGACCTCTCCGTACCTGTACCCGGCCATGTCGGCGAGGAACACGGAGACACGGCGGCTGTTCTCGGTGTTCTCCCGTGCGCTCGCAGAGCTGGAGGCCTGCAGGCCCTGCAGGGTGTTCTCCAGGGACTTGATTGTGATCGCCCGCTCCTCGCTGGACTCTTGCTCTTTGGCCAGGTCTGCGACCGCCGTCTTGCGGGTTTCTCTGGCACGGTCGAGCTCCTCTGTCCTCTGCGCCAGCTGCTCCTTGGCAGTGGCGAGCCGGGTCTTGGTTTCGTCGAGCTCCGCCTTTTGGCCCAGGTCGTTGACAATCATCCTGGCCTCGCTGTCGATTAACTGGGAAGTCTTCTCGTCAATCGTTTCTTTCTGGGCATTGATGGTATGATCTTTGGTCTCGATGAGTCCCTCGAGCCTCTCGACATCATCACGCAGGCCTTCCTGCTCCAGCCGGCCGTTCTCGACTTGTTCTCTGAGCTGAGAGATCTGCGTATCGAGTCGCGTCACCGTGTTGGACACATCGCCAAGCTTGCATCTCATCTGCTTTAGCTCGACGTCCTTTTCTGCGAGGGCTGAGTCTGCTGCCTCTTTCCCGGCCATGGCCAGGTCGAGGTTCTTCTCTGAGGCCTCGAGCCTTGCCTCCCAGCCCTGAACTTCCTCCTCGAGCTGCGAAATCCTTGCGTCGGCCTCCTTGAGGTCGTCCGAGGAGGCAGCCATCTCCTTGTGGGAGTTGCGCAGCTGGTTGCGCTCCTCTCTCAACCTGGCCTCGTTTTGGCGGCTCCTGTTCAGGGAGGTCTCCTTTTCAGCAAGCATCTTGGTCTTCTGCTTGATTACTTCGTTTTTCTCACTGATGACCGCATCTTTCTCGACGAGATCCTCTGCCCACTGGTCCTTGGCTTCGGCCCTCTGTGCCTTGGCCTGCTCGAAGTACTTTTTGTAATCCTCCACACGGAGCCGGAGCCGCTCGTTTCTCCCCTCGTGCTTTTGGCAATCACTATAAGCCTTGCTAAGCTCCGAGTCCTTGCTGGAGATGTCGCTGCGCATCTTGCTGTTCTCAGACATCAGTTTATCAATCTGCTGCTGCATCAAGTCGCAGTCGACTTTGTGTTTGCGCGCCAGGTTGGCCTGTTCTTGAAGGTGCCTCTGCTCGTCCTCGCGGCGCGACTTCTCCGCATTGTCCAGGTCCTTGTCCAAGACGCTCACGGTGCCCAGCCTGCTATCCTGCGGCGTTGAGTTGGCATGGATCATATTGTTTAATTGACCATGCAGTCTCTTTACATTGGCGGCGTGTTTGGTCACGGTCTGTTCACTTGCTTTGAGGTCGACCAGGGCGGATTCTCTCTCCCGTCTGTACCTGGCGGCGCGGTTGCTCTCAGACTGCAGTGTCTGCACGAGGTTGTTGACATGGTCATGGAGTGAGGATAGCTCGTCTTGGTGCTCCTCGAGAGACTTCTCTGCGCCCGCCAGCCTCTGTAGCGTCTCGCGGTAGAGCTGCCTCTGTTTGTCGGCATCTTGCCTGTTCTTCTCAGAGCTGGTCTTCGCCTCTGTCGCGGCTCGGACAAACTTGTTGCATTTTGAGGTCTCCGTTTCACATTTCTCCTCGAGCAGTGCCACCTGCTGGCGGAGTTCTTCCAGCTGCTCACTGTCAACGTCACCGCTGGAGATCTGCGTCTGGCGGAACTCGACGAGGTCGCTCGCGAAGGCGTCCTTCAGGCTCGGGAACCCGTCAAGCACGGCAGGCAGGTCTGTGACGACAAGAGGGAGCAGCCTCAGCACGATCGCGCTGATGGTGGCCCTGTGGTCCGCGACGGCCGAGTGGGCTGCTGCGGGCGACGCCAACACGAGCGCCTGCATGGCCCTGAGGTTGCCATCGAGGTCCTGCTTGACCTCGTCGCACCTGCCCTCGAGCTCGTCCCTCATCTGCGTGATGCTCTCCAGGCGGGTAATGGCTTTTCGCAATCTGTCGATATCTGGGTAGCCAACCCGCGCGGCGAGGTCTTTGCCCTGCCCGAAGCCTTCTTCGAGCCGCCGCGCAATCTCCACGCCCTCTCTGAGCTTCTCTTCCGAGGCCGCGACGTTCTCAGAGACCTGGACGGCGGACACGAGCCCGGACGCAGGTTTGAACTTGTGTTGGTTCATTATGAGAAAAATAATTGAATTTGATGTATGCCCTTCACGTATTGTGATAATAATGATGAGTAACAATATTTTGAATAAGAATAGAGGATGCTGTGGGTGTGTCTCTCAAGACGCCTTTGCCTTCCTCATTACACTCAACGCGTGGGATGTCATAGGCGCTGGGGGTGGGCGTGAAACGAGCCTGCTTACCTAATCATAGCAACGCGAAGGGGGGCCACCACGGTGGTCTGTGCTGCGAAGCTCCACAGTTCATGCACATTTGTGACTTTTGCTGTTGGAAATAGTGTTGTGAGTAGCTTGAGGGAAGCATTGTTTATATTTCTGGTTAATTTGCTATTCATAACTGTGCTTGTCTTGGCATCACGGATCTCAGTCTGCATGCCTGTAGCTGGTGACGATTGCGGTCTGACTATGCCTTGCTTACTAAGCTAAACCGACCTCAAGCCAAAACATCGAATTCGCTAGCGATGGCTGTGGTATTATTCAAATTTCGAATTGCTGTCTGGATCATTCAGAGGAACATGTTCCTGTCGGTTCTAGTCTCGTACATGCGGTTTGGATAAGAGGGTGCGAGACAACGTAGAGTGGGTAAAGGTGGCATGTTTTGAAAGACTCAGTGCCTCTTCACCAGCGCCCTCCTCCCAGGTTCGAATAGATACATAGACAGATGAGGATAGCACAGTACTAATTGATTGATATTTCCGGGTCAAAATGTCCTTTACACGCGCGATTAGTCTGGTGTGTTGGGTGGGCTGCCTTGGAAGGCTCCCAGGGCTATGTTCTTCAGCTTTTGTTTGATGTGCAGGTAGAAACAGGTGTGATTTGAAGAAAAGCTTTGGGAATCGCCCTACAGAGTTATGCAAAGAGCTGCAATGCCACCAAACTGCCCCGCGGATCTCAAATCAACAAAGTCCATCCCCCGACAGACAACCCGTCGCGACAACACGCCATCACCAACCAAACCACCAATCAACCCACACACACACACACAAATACACACATACATACACATACAAAGTTAACTCTCGAATTTCCTCGATATGGCCTCGCACGGAGGCCGACCGACCGACAAGAATGCCGAAAAGTCGACAGACAGAGGCACGATAATTGCGCAAGAGGCGAAATGGCTCGAGAAAGCGATGGAGACATCGCAGGCTGAGGGAAAAGGGTACAAACACTACCGCCCCCTCACTCAAGAGTCTTTCGATAGACTGCGGAAGAACAGGGACAGTCTTGTCGAGGCATTGTGGTCCGACAACGACGAGGCTCAGGTTCAGAACCAGTGGGATCAGGACAAGGCTGCCAAGCCATTGGACAAGGCAAACCCGAAGGAGCAGTACTTGTGGAAGACATGCGCGAGGTTCCTGGGATGCCTGCCCACGGATCTCATAGGCTTCAAGCACCAGCTGGAGTACGACGCCAGGGAACAGCCGAGGCAGAATTGGACGCAGCACTTCTGCTCCCACCTGGTCACAATGATTGCCCACCCCATGTTCGAGAACGACCCCGCAAAAATTGCGCTGTCGATACACATGTCGGTGTGCGCCTACCAGGCCCGCGAGTGGAAGATCAGCAGGCACAGCGACCTGTTCCTCCTGAAGCTCAAGGAGGTGGCGGACCATGGCGAGAACAAGATGACTGGCTCGCAGCTCATCGACGCCGCTACCAAGGCCTGGAAGGCTGACTGGCCAGACAGCAGAGGCCTGCCGCCATGGGCCCAGCTCCTCCGTGCTGTCGTCCGGCAGCACGTTCAGACACCGCACGTGGATGCCGAATTCCCACTCAGGGTAAAGACGGAGCACCTGACAGCAGTCATACACTCCCTCGAGGAGATCAAGCATGGCAAGATGGTCATGTTCCACAGCACCAAGGTGTTTGAAAGGGCCCTCAGAGACATCCGTTCGACTGTCGACCTGCCGACCGACGACAAGAACCCCGTCAAGACATTGTTTGACGAGGGCATGTTGCACAACCGCAGGCTGGAGGTACTTGCTGCTCGCTTTCCCGACGACGACGATATTGCACGGCGTGTATATCGCAGTCTCCCGCGATTGGCATCTCCTCCTCCGCAAGCTCGTGTTCCTCCCGCGCAGGCCCCGGCGGGCCAAGGCGAGGCGTCCTCGCAGCCTAACCGCGCGCCGAAGAGGGGCCGCGGGCGACCACGAAAGGTTCGTGAGCCTGATGCCGGTGATGCGGGATCACTTGCTGCTCCGGAGGATCCAGCCCCCAAGAGTAAGGTTGGACGACCGCGAAAGGCCCGGGCAGCCGAATCAACAAAGACTCCTCGAGCTTCGAGATCCTCTCGAAAAGGGGTAAGGGACTTTGTCCGTTCCGACTCGGAATCCGACGCGGCACCCGACTCGGATTCCAACGATGGAGACGATCTGCCTCAGGCCCCGGCCATTGAAAAGCGCATCAAACGGACGAGTCTGGGCAAACATGCACGCTTCAGCCCATTGCCTTCAACATCTGAGCGCGAGGAAGATCAGCCACTTGATGTGGAAGAAACCGACACCGTCCGGGAGAAGCGGCCCGGACGAGCAGCCGCAAAGCGGTATCGCTCGTCCTTCTTCGAAGCGGAAGAGGACCCATTCGAGGCGGAAGGTGTCAGCCCGTCAAATCCTGCAGATGATGCAGACACGCGGAAGAACCGGCCCTTCGTGGCATTTGACTTGTACAAATACAGCCTGAACAAGTCCACGGTGCCGCATCACTCGGCTGGCGTCACCGACGGCGGCGGCGGCATTGCATGGGACGATCAGGCGGGAGACGCGCTCTCAGGATTCAATGATGACGTGAGCGACCCCCTGCCTGCAGCTGCGTCTCAGCTCTCCATCCCGCCGTCCGAAAATGATGTTGTAGATGGTATTGGGGACCTGCCAATCGACGATGGCGGATACTCAAAATTTGCGGGCGACATGACCGTTGATGGGGCGCAGGATCAGCTGCCTCGTAACGCCTCTCTGACTCGGCCTATCTTCTCAGGCGTGCCCTCAGACTTGGGGGTATCACGAGGTGTAAACTCGGAGGCTGGTTCCAGGCCGCATACCTCACACTCCAATGAGCTTGGAACTGAAGGAGTGCACGATGGGCCCGACGCGAACAGCGCCGCCTCCTCTGCAGCCAGCCCTCAGCCACCGCGAGCGCCGGAAACTGAGATGGGCGTGGGACCTGCCCGCGATTCATCGCAAGTTCCGCCCAACGAGCTTGACAAAGAGCAAGCGCGTGGTTCAAACGGTGCCGTATCCCCTGCCGCAAGTCTTCTGCCGGCCCAAGCGCCGGAAAGTGACGACGACATAAGGTTCACTCGGGAGCCGATGGACAACTGGGACGAGGAGGATGAGAGACCCCGCGTCGTTGTCCCGGCCACCATGGACATACTGTCCAACGTGACTCCGCTCGAAAGAGCAATGGAGGACACGGGATACGTAGGATTCCCTTAAGTGGATACTTCATATAGTTAATTCTAATTTGGAATTTGGACTAAGAGCTCCTCCCTGCCGTCGGTACTCTGCTCGAATGCCCCGGCCTCAGTGCCGGTATACTGGCATTGCTGTTGGTTGTTGTTTCCGAAAAGACCGTAGTAATCGAGGTGTTGATGCGTGTCGTGTCCCGAAGAGTCTACTATTAGCGTTTGTGATGCTGTTCTCACCAAAGCCGGTGTTGATCTTGAGGTTGGCATCCAGTTCCCATTCTGCTGGCCCCGAATACGTGACATGAGTTGTGCAAGGGCAGAAAGCTACTAGATTAACAGAGTTGCTTGTCTACTGTGATGATTAATTACATGAGGAGCTCGAACTGGTGAGAAAGGGAAAACAGTCCATGTGTGTGCTGCAGAATTGCTGTGCCCCTCCACCAGGCAGACCACAGAAAAACCTTACAGTGGCGCAACCTTTTTCTTCTTTTTTTTTCTTTCGCAAAGCTCCCAATTGAATTGTTCCACAACGCGAACGATACCATCAACCCAGCTTCATCTGGGAATAGTGCGACAAAAATTCTCACGTTTCAACACGTCTTGTTTTCACAATGTCCGCCCGAATGAGCGGCGACTACGTCTCGTTCTCAGTAGGAGAGAACGGCAAGAAATACGGCGTGGATGCAAGGGTTTACTCGAAGGTCTCCCCATCTCTGGGGGCAATGCTCAAGGAAAAGTTGGCAGAAGCTACAGAGAGCGCTGCTGACTGGTCCTACGTGGACGTGCCCACCTTTGAGCGCTTCACGATGTGGGTGAGGACAGGCCTTTACCTCCCGCCAGAGCCCAAGACCGATCGCCGCAGGGACTTGGCAAAGCTGGGCCCTGAGCATGGACCAGAGCACCCTCTGAGGGGCTTGGGCAATTGGGGCGAGCGACTCGGGTCTTGTGCCTTCGATTTCCATGTCTGCCCGGACTGCAGATCGACCGAGACGTCTAGGTCTGGTGAGGACCACTACAGGTGCTGGCACTGTCGATCAGAGTTCGACCTGCAGTGTCAAAGCTGCAATGCGCAAATGTCGAAAGGGCTGCAGACGCTCGTGGGACAATTCATCGACGCCGTGGAGGTCAGATACCCTTTCACCGGTCATGTCAAGCTCTCATGCCGCTGGAACAGGGACGCCACTGAAGACCACACAGAGGTCTTCCTGTGCCACGCCCACATGTACATCCTCGCTGATGTCTGGGACATTGAGAAGCTGCGCGAGCGCGCTCTATATGAGCTGCATATGGCTCTGACGCGTTTCATTATCTACCCAGCACGCATTGGTGACTTGATCACTCTCGCAGAATATGTCTTTGATTACACCTTGCCCGAAGATGCAATGTATCAGATGCTGGTCATGTACCTGAGCTGTATTTGGGGGGAGATCTCCCATTTTCAAGGGCCGGACGTTATTTTGGATGATCGCAAGGTAGCTCGAGGCATTCTTGAGACAATCGTAACGTTTAGCACTCCTGAATGAAAATCGTTGAACTATGTTAATTTGCCACAATGAGATACTTAAGAAAAGTGATAATTATGAATCTCACTTACCATTACTGTAAGGGAGTTTTAAATAAAACTTTATTTTGTTAATAAACTAGAATGTAAATATAAATAGAATTTTATTCTATGTATTTATATATATAAATAGAATTATTAAATTTTATTTATATTATTATATTAATACTATATAAATATAAATACTTTTAATATATTTATATATATAAATAAATATAATTTTAAACTATTTATATAATATTAAATTAATTTAATATAAATAAAAATGTTTCTAGTATATTTATATATATAAATATAGTTAATTTATTTCTATTTATATACTTAAGTATATATATAAATTATAATAATTACAGCTAGTTCCTAGCTAATAAACTTAATAAGCAGGTTTATATTTAAGAAATATTTAAAATAATAATATTTTAAGCAATATATAATAATAGTAAATTAAAAGCTTTATAGCTATTTTAAATAAATATTTAAATTAACTACTAAAAAGCTATTTTAAGCTAATACTATTTATTAGTAATAAGTATAATCTATATAGTTTATTTTTTTAGCTAAAGTAATAAAAGTATTACTTTTAATAGCTTACTTAAAGCATTACTTATTTAAAGTAGTAAAAGCATTAAATTATTTAAATTATCTAAAATAAAGTATTATTTTAATTATTTTAATTATCCTTTTGCTTTATTATATAACCTACTTCTATTATATAGTAAATCCTTTTAAGCTTACTTTATTAGCCTATAAAGTTTATTTGCACTTTTAAAAAACTAATAGTACTCTTTTAATTTTATTTCTATTATATTTATAATATTATTCCCCTTTTTTATTACTTTTTTATCCTTAAAAAACTTAAATAAATCCTTTTCTCTTTTATTTCCTTTTATATATTTATTATATTTATTTTACTAATAATTATATTATTGCATATAAAAAAACTGCATTTTAAAAAATTAAATTAATATAATTAATTATTCATATTTATTAAATTATTAAGCTTTAAAGTTATACCTTATTTATTTTATTTTATAAAAAAGTAGTTTTATTAAATAATAAAGGGTATTTCTTATTATTTTACTTATATTAAATAAAGTAAAAAGTATAATAGCTTTAAAATACTAATAAATACTTATAAGTTTTAGTTTTCCTTATTTTTCTATTTTCTTTTTTTTAATTATTCCTTTAATATTTTAAATTATTATAAAAAAAAAGAAATTATATTTTTAAAAGTTTAAAGCCTAAAAAGCCTTATATAAAGCTTATTATTAAGTAAGTAAAATAATAGCTTATTTAAATTATTTATATTATTAAAAGGAGTCTTTAATCTATTATAAAGCTAATTTAATAAATAAAAGTTTAGCTACTTTAAATATATCTAAAAAAGCTAATTATATTAAAGCTATTAACTAAGTTATAGCTAAAAAATTTAAAACTATTTTTAATATTTAATAAAATAAGAGTTTTAGCATTATAAATTAGGGTTTTATAATAAAATCTGCTAATATAGATTTTTCTAACTAGTTATTTAATAATATATTTAAAATACTTTTTAATAGTTTATTAAATTTTAAATAAGTTCTTATAAATTATCTTTATTACTATAATTCTCTTATTTAACTAAGTATTCTATTATTTTCTTATATATTTAATAATTTAAAATATATTCTACTTTATATTTTAGTTTATAATTATTAAGCTTAATATTAATAACTAGTATTATATTAACTAATATAAGTTTTAATATAAAAATATAAAAAATTAGGTAAATTTTTATTCTTTTTAATAATATAAGTTTATAATTTATTTTTAATATTTTTTTTTTAATTTTAAATAGTTTAATTTTTTTAAAATTAAGTTTATTACTAGGTTGCTTAATTTTAATTTATTTTTTATAAAATAAGTAAACTATATCTTCCTTTTTAAAAGTTAATTTTTTTAACTTTTATTAATTTACTTATTTTATTATATATTTTTAAATAAATCCTAAATTTACTATAATTTTTTTATAAATATTTTTAATTTATTTTATATAGTTAATAACTTATAATACTTTTATATTAAAAATTAGGTATTAATAAATATTTAGATTAAATCTATAATTAGTATAAAATAGTAAAATATTAATAATATATATATCTATACTATTATATATAAATTATACTAATAATAGTAATAGTACTTAATTATTTTATTAATAGTTAATATAGTAGTATATATATTATTTTAATATTTAGTTAAGTTATTTTATTTACCTATCTATTTATAGATATACTATTATTAAAAGTTTATATTTAGCTTCTAATTATTTTATTAAAAAAAACTAAAAGTTTAATATAAATAGTTTATTTTAGTTAAATATAATTTTATTTAGCAACTTATATTAGCTAATAATTATTTTAAAAAATATATAAGCAAGTTTTTCTATTATACTAGCTTCCTTATAAAGTATAAAATATATATACTTTATAAATCTATTTACTATAACTAAAATACTATTATAATTAACTTTTATTATTAATTCCTTAAATAAGGAAAGCTTAATAATAAAATTTAAGCTAATTAATTTTTATAATTTATTTAATATTAATAATAGTTATAATAGCCTATATAGCTTATATTTTATAAGCTTACTTTTATTATAAAGGTTATATTTATTAATAACTTAAGCTACTTTTTATTTTATATTAAAAAAATTCTAATATTATTTTAGCTTTAAGTATATAGCTTAAATACTTTAATAGCTATATATTAATACTTTATAAAGTTTTTTAATAACTTCTTTTTAAAAAGCTGCTAAAAAGTAATATTTTTCCTTATAAAATAAGGTTTTATTTATATTTTATAGCTACTTTTTTTTATTATTTAAAATATTTTTATAGCTTTATTTTACCTAATTAAGTTAGTTTATAGCAAATTATACTTAATAAGCTGCTATAATTTATTACTTTAGTAAATTATTTTTTAATTAGTTTATAGTAAACTGCCTTTTTAAATACCCTATACCTAAGCTTTTATCTAAATTTTTATAAAATACTATATAAATTTTAAATAAAACCTCCTATTAATAGTTTAACTATTTATTAAAAATATTTACTTTTCTATTTTTAAATCTCTTTTAATATATAATTTTAATATTAAACTATAAAAAGTATTCTAATTATTAAATTTACTATTTATTAAATTCCTTAATAATTATAAAGTATACTAAATTTTTATAATTTATAAATACTTATATTTAGTATTTTATTTTAATTAAATAATATTTTTATTTTTTAAATATTTTAATAATTACTATTAATTCCTTATTATATATTAAATAGTTTAATTTAAGTTTATTAAGTTTTTACAAAAAAAATATAATAAAGTAAAATTATTTTTATTTATTATATTATCCTAATTCTCCTTTAATAATAAAATTTAAAGTATTAGTACCTATATTATAAACCTTTTTAAAATCTACTTTTATAAATATAAATTTTAAAAAAACTTATTCCTTAATTTTATTAAATATATTTTATTTTTCTTTTCCTTATTTAAAAAGTTAATTCTTTCTAATAAAGTTAATTAATAATATAAATAACTCTTTATAATTCTTAATATATTATTAATAAAAGTTAATATAACCTTAAAAGCTTTTAACTTTTTTAATATTAGTTAAGGTTAACTAATCTTTAATTACTATAATTTTAAAAACCTATATTTTAATTTCTTTTAATTAAATTATATATTTAAAAAAGTTAACTTTTTATATATAAAAATAACTTTTTTTTAATTTTATTAAAAGTTTAATATTTTAAAAAATCTAAAAAACTTAATATATATATTACTTATATTATTTAAACATTTTTAAAAAGATTAAAATATTATTTAAATAAACTATTATAAAATAGTTAAAATATTCCTATAAAATATTATTAATTATTACTTAAAAAAAAGTAAGTATATTAATAAAGCTAAAAAATATAACTAAATATTTAAAATAACTATACCTTATTTTAAAAGCAGTTTTTTATTTTTTTTTATATTTTATTTTAATAAGGTTATAAGTACTTTTAAAATTTAATATTATAAATTATTATATTTTTTAAAATCTATTATATAATTTTTTAATAAATAAAAAAAGGTATTAATTTTTAATTATAATTTTATTAAGCTATTAATAATTTATATAAAAGTATAGCTTTCTATTTTTCTTAAATATAAAAAAAATAAAATAGCTTATAAATAATATAAATAATTAAATATATTCCTTTTTTAAGTTATTATTAAAGTATTTTTATAATATTTTAAGCTATTTTTTATTAAAATTATAGATTTTATAAAACTTAAAATAACTTTTTTTTTTAAAGATATTTTATAATTCTATTAATTATACTTAAATAGTTTAATATTAAGTATTATTTAAAATAGCTTTAAATATTTCTAGTACTTTTTTAAAATCTATTTTAAGTTATTTATTTTTTTCTATTATTATATAAAATAAATAAACTTTTTAAATAGCAGCTATATTATTTTATAATATACTAAATATTATTATTTTTATATTTATTATAAAATTCCTTTTAAAAATATAACTATAATTCCTAAAATTTTTAATAAATAATATATTTATTTAAATATTATTTAAATTTCCTATATTTACTACTATACTATTTAAGCTAACTACTTTATTTTTCCTTTAATTTATAATAAACTAAAATACTATTACTATTTATTTAACTTATTTAAAAAGTTAGCTATTCCTACTTTAATAACTAAATCCTTTTTTTATTTTTAAAAAGGTTTACTATATAAATCTATATAAGCGCTAGTATTATAGCTATTTTTAAAAACTAAATTTATTCCTTTATCTTTAATTTTCCTATTTATTAATTAATTTTAATAAATTTAGCTAATAGTTTAATTAATTTAAAAATTATTTTTTCTAAACTATAAAATCCCTAATATAATTTTATATTTTACTATATTTATAATATTAAACTAAATAATTTCTTTATAATTATTAAAAATAACTAATAAATAATTAATCTTTATATTAATAATCCTATTTTTATAAAATACCTTTTATCTATTAATAATATTAAATATATAAAATTCCATTTTCTATTACTATAATATTTTATATTAGTTTACTACTACTAATAATATAAAATTTCTTTATACTTTACTATTTAAAAGTACTATAAAGGGTTATTATCTAATCTATAATATAATTTTTATATACTTATATTTTTTAATATTTATTATATAAAAAAACCTTTTTATATTAATTAAAACTAATTAAAGCTTATTTAAACTTAGCCTTAATTATTTTTTATTATCTAATCTTTTATTAAAATTTTCTTAATTTATTAAATAGCTCTTTATATAAGCCTTTTTACTACCCTTAATACTTATACTATAATAATAAAATCTTTTAATATTATATTTTTTTTATTAAATAATAAAACTATATTAAATTAGTAATATTAATACTAATTCTAAAATTTTAATTTAAAATATATTTAATAATTAATTTATAAATAATACTTTTATAATCTAAAGTTTTATAAGTAATATAAAAAATAATCTATCTAAAATTTAAAAATTATATATCCTTAGCTTAAAAAGTATTATTAAATACTCTAATATTATAATTCCTTTTACTTATAAAGCCTTACTATTTCTATTATACTTAGCTATTTAAAAAAAAAATCCTTTTTAATTTTACTTATATAATATATCCTATATTTATTAAAAATATATAAAGCTTATAAAATTTCCTTATAATTTAAATACTAATAATATATTTAAAAGTTATTATTAAAAAAATGCACTAATAATAATATAAAAAGTTTTTTATAAACTACTAATATTACTATACTTTTATTCTATTCTAAAATTACAATTTAAATAATACTAATATTAAATACTATAAAGAATACTTTACCTATCTATTTATAAAGGTTTTAATTTTTTAAATTTAAAAATATTATTTAGTTAATATTAACTATAATTATAAATAGCTTCTATTTTACTATTATAAAAGTCTTTTAGCTTTTAAGCGCTTTTAAAAACTATTCTAATACTTTTTTACTTAAAAAGTATATATTATAGTTATTATTATAATATACTATTTAGCTTATAAACGCATAATTTTCTATAAGTTTTTTAATAGCTAAATTAGCCTATTATTACTTTAATATTAGTTTCCAATTATCTTTTTTTTTACTTTAGTAATCTTATATAAAATATCCTTTCTTATTATAATTATAGCATTTAATATCTTTTCTAAATTTCTTTTAAATAATATTAAGTTTTATTAAGCTTAAATACTACTTACTAACTATTATTTATAATTAATATTATTTTTTAAAGCTTAGCTTATTTTACTAATAAAAAAAATATATTAAATCCTACCCCTTTTTTTTAAATTTACACTTATAAATTTAATTATTAATTTAAATAGCTAATTTTATATATTAAATAAAATTATTTAATTAATCTAATTTAAATAATTTATCTTTTACTTTATTTTTTAACTTATTATAAAATATAAAGATTTTTATAATATTAATATAGTTAACTCTAATATAAATTTAATAAAACTTTATAATATAAGTTATAATAAATTCCTTTTAATATAATCTTATAAATTCCCTTTTTATTTACTATTCCTTATTTAAATTTTAAAAAAATAACTTAAAAGTAAGCTTATAATTTTTAAAATTACTAAAAATATTCTAAATTTTTTACTTATATTATTTAAACTTATTTTTTTTAAAAAAATTTATAAAATAAAATTTAAACTATATTAAAGCCTATTCTTTTAAAAAAAAAGCTATATATATAACTTATTCTCTATTAAACTAATTATTAAAGCTATAAAAGCACTAATAAGCCTTAATCTAAATAAAATAAGCCTATAATTATTCTAAAAAACTATTATAAAGGGTTAAATTAATAAGCTTAATAAATTCCTTAAATTTAATTAAAATATTAATAATATTAATAATACTTTAAAATATTTTAACTTTAACCTTAAATTTTTTTACTTTATTATTTTAACTAGCTTATCCCTAAATATAAATATAAAGGTTTTTAATTTCCTTAACTATTTTAAAATATTAAGCCTATAAAAATTCAAAATTATTATTATTTAGCTTCTATTAAAGGTTTTTTTAAATATAGCTAAAAAATATATTAAAATAAAAATAATAATTATATAAATTATTATTTAAAGTTTATATAAAATATTTAAATAAAAGCAATTAAAATATAACAATTATAGCTAATTCCTAACTAATAAACTTAATAAACAAATTTATATTTAAAAAACATTTAAAATAATAATATTTTAAATAATATATAATAATAATAAATTAAAAGCTTTATAGCTATTTTAAATAAATATTTAAATTAACTATTAAAAAGCTATTTTAAGCTAATATTATTTATTAATAATAAATATAATTTATATAATTTATCTTTTTAACTAAAGCAATAAAAGTATTACTTTTAATAGCTTATTTAAAATATTGCTTATTTAAAATAATAAAAGCATTAAATTATTTAAATTATTTAAAATAAAGTATTACTTTAATTATTTTAGTTATCCTTTTACTCTATTATATAATCTACTTTTATTATATAGCAAATTCTTTTAGGCCTACCCTACTAGCCTATAAGGTTTATCTACGCTTTTAAGGGACTAACAATACTCCCCTAATTCTATTCCTATTACATTTGTAACATAAATAAAAACAGTTAATATATATTTATATATATAAATACTGTTAACTTATTTATATTTATATTTTTATATATGAAATTCTTCTTGTGTTTTATTTTTTTCTCATTAATCACTTTATCCCAATTCACATCCAGACCTCACCCCTCATGCAACACCCACACCAACAACCATCACTGTCAACAACACCTTCTCTACCGTTATAACAGACAACATGAATCAGTACTCAATACTCTTCGAAGAGATCGCGCCTGATAGGCCGTATCTACAGATCATCTCTGGCGTGTGCTCCGAGTCGGGCCTCGACCGTGTCGAGGGCTCCGTCTCAGCACTGGTTCAGTGGCTGCGGGGCCAGGAGGAACATGTCACTGCCGTCTACTTACTGCCAACGAGCACAGACGCGGACATCGTCATGGCGCACCTCAGTTCAAACGACGAACTGGACCCTTCGATTGTGAGTAGACGACCCAGCCCAGCACATGTGCTCATCACATCCTGTCAGGACTTTCTGATAGATGAGCTGGTGGGTGAAATCCTCGCCGCTGAAAACGTGGTCGTTGTCGTCAACCTCGACCGCGGCATAGTCAACTCGCACATGGCGGCCATGGCCACAACCATCTTCTCAAATTTAAAGCCCAGAGACCAGACGAATATGCGCATGTTCGCGCTGATCACCCTCTCGCACGAGAATCTTTCAAAACCTGGGGCTACACAGATACTTGATCCCGAGCTTGTCTACCGTGCGGTGCGACGTGGAGGCTGGCAAGTCTCACAACACACCTTCACGCTCAAAGTTGAACGGGGCCAGGATAGCTGGTCTATGCGTACCAAGCAAAAGCCAGGTACCGAACAGTTCGACCGGGCCCAGAGGGCGAATGCGCTCAACCAGCTGCAGGAGGTGTTTCAAAGGGACACGCAGAAGAAAGAGGCTTCGAGCTACAAGACAGTGCTGCTGATGAGCCAGGGGCGGTTCCGGAGGCTCGTAGCCTCCATCACATTCGTCAAAGTCAGGGCCTCCTTTATCCACGGTGGGACACCCGCCACACAGGTCAGGAGGGTCCTCGAGGACCAGCAGCCGGGCTTCGTCGTCATTGGTATCTCCACGGAGGTCGGCATCCTGCCCCGTATCCCCGGCCTGAGGACGGTCATCGCTGATTTCTACGCCGACCGGTTCGATTTCGATGATGCCGTGGGCCATTCGGTAGCCCATGAGAAAGATGCCTTCTTCATTCGCACGGAGCAACTGCTTGATGTCGTCAATGGGTCCTCGGACGTGAATATCGTCACCTTGTGTCTCGACAAGGAGGTCAGTCCGACGATGCTGCGACAGATCCCAGCACATCATACGGGGGAGATGTTCCACCTGATCATGAGGGTGGCGGCGATATGCCCTGAGTTGCCCTTGCTGCATGTGCCCTGCCTGGTGCTCCCAGATGAGCTCCCCCGGTTCTATGAGCGCCTGAGGCGTCTCCACATGTGGGGCCTCGTCAAGCTCAGCGGCTGGAACCACAACTGCATGATCTCCCTCGGTGGCCCGAGGGCTCAGCTGATGGGCGAGCTGGCTCAACATGAAACCAACATCCACAGCCTGAACCTCCTGGCCAGCGCAATGTACGGTGGAACAAAGATGTCCATCAAGGAGCGGCGTGTACTTGTGTGGCTTGCTGCGATCATCGCGCATGGTCCATCAGCCGTCCTCGTCCACCCAGACAAAGACACTCGCTACTCCGAGGAGAAGGTGGGAGGTGGTTCTGTTCCTCCCATCGGCCGAAGGGGTGAGATTTGGTCGGCTTTCCTGGGAATGTGTTACTTCTACACCAACAAGACCTCCGCAGCCAAGACGCCATATGCGGTCGACGAGGCCGAGGCCCAGCAGGTGCTGGAGAGGATCCGATGGTGGCTGGACTCCGCTCAACTTACCGAACCTGAGGAAGATTCTACAGATGCGGGACAGCTTTCGCACGGCGAGATCGCGCTCATCGACCGAGAGCTTGTCCGGGCCTTCATCTACAACATTTGCATGTACGACAAGGTCACCCACAGGCTGGTGGATCTCCTCTCAGAGAAGGAGATCCGGCTTGACTCAGTGGCTCGGCCGAACCTGGAAGCCCATGGCGGCATGACAGACGAGAAGGTCGTGTTTGCAGTCTACACTCAGCTGGAAAAGCTATCTGCCGATTATGGCGCAAGGAACCTCACCGTGGTGTCCCACGATGCAGTGTACACCGAGCTGCTACGCATTGCACCTCGAGCAAGTGTTCGGCCGGGGCAGTCTCCTATCGACTTGGACATTCTCCGCCCAAGGACTGCGCCAGTTTTGGCCCCAACGGCGGGCGAGCCCCTGGCACCCGAGGCCGATGAACCTGCGGGAGTGTCAAATGACAACTTCCCAGTGCAGAAGAGTCGGCAGTTCAAGTTGGGCTATGGCGACCAGCTTGTCATTGACAACTATTATCGCTATAGCTAGATATTAGGAAAAGTTTAGTTAGAGAAATACACATCATTCAACCATTCGAATTTCCAAGTCTCGATTATGTAAAGATCACAACTGGGTTTATGTTCAGGGGGCCGGTCAAGGTGGTGAAACTTTGAGGCAATGTGTGATAATAGTTGATCGAGAGCTCCACAGCTATCCAGGGTGGATACTTAGATTGACTGTGTATAAGCTGTCCTAAGCTAATGCTATCCACTGGCGACGAGGGTGATCTGTATCGTCCAACTCTCCAGCCTGGCTTGCTAGGTTTCTGGATGATGTCTCGCGGTTTGAACGACTTAAGTAACTCTGGGCTACTCTGGCTCATTCAGCTTATCCTCAAGCCCAATGATCCACATAATTCTCCTTTGGTAAGCGGCTTAGTTGCGTGATTTATAGCTTGCTTAAGCTCTATTTACTTATATAACCTGTTATGCTAGTTGAAAAGGTATTGTTTTTTATCTACTAATTTTCTTTTATCTTATTTTTAATTTAAAAGTAATAAATTATTAAAAACATTTTAATATATAAATAAAATTATTTTATACTTATTTATATATTTAATATACTAATTATATTATAAAATATAAATAAAATTATTTTATACTTATTTATATATATAAATACTATAATATTAAATATTTTATTTTTATTTTTATTAAAATAATTAAATAATATATATTAATATATAAATATATTTATTTTATATTTATTTATATATATAAATATTAAAATATAAATAAAAATATAAATAAAGTTTTTTTATTTATATTTTAATATTTTATTTATATATATATATAAATAAAAAATGTATTTATTTATATATTAAAATTAATATTAAATTTAATATATAAATAAATATATTTTTTATATTTTTTATATATATAA